ATGTTTATCGTAAGCGTAGACTCTCTCAAACGCCTAAACGAAGCTCTTCACGATAAAGTTCTGTCTCAAGATTATAAGAAACAGATAAGTCTGACTGCCACTGGTACCAAAACAAGGATTGTGTGTGATGTGAACAGCGAAACAAGAAGCCTTGACAAAAACAAAAGCCATATTTGTGGACGTTATTTCATTTAATTCAAAATATTAATATTGACTTTTGACCGTAGTTTACTCTGCAGACCGTGAGCTGTCGTTTGATGTATGATCCGATGCCATACTCTTTTGTGTTCTAAAGCCATTGTAACTTAAACGTGGTCTTTTGTATTCTATTTTCTACACTCATTCCAAGTAATCGTATTTTCCTAATTGTTTGTGATTTTGAGTCTTGTTATTCATCTATTTATTTATGTATCTTTTTGCGCTGAGCTGAATCGGAACAAGACGAGAATGTGAATCGGAATAGAGAATAAATTGCGTAGTGTTCCAGTTAACTCGTTTTCTCTCTTGCACACTTGTCAGTGAATCAGGTGATAAGTTTGCTTTCGTCTCTTTACCCCGAGCGGCTAGTCTCACTTCGAACTTACTTATACTAGCCACAAAGTCAAACCGGTCAGCCATCTTGTCAAGGACTCAAGCTAGATTGAGACAAGCTATATTTTGCATGATGGTTGGTAGACAGATCGAGGACGTGTCAGTAAGTTTTCTAGAAATTATAGAACACCCAGCATCTTCTCATTCTTCCATCAGTTTGGCATGTAGGGCATATGGAGAATCTCATTGCCGGCACACGTTAAAGTTGAAGAAAACCCGCAGTCACTTTTGAGCACATTGTTGACCCGTCCTATCAACAGATACTCGACAAACACCACTAACTGTACAGATTTTGAACACAATTACCACATGCAACCCGAAACGCTGCACAACACATCGTTATTACAGGATCACCTGTATTTTCGAAAGCGCGCCAACCAGCTCAAGAAAAGCTGTGGTTGCCAAAAATGAATTCAAACACATGGTAAACGTGTGAATTTTTCGGCCACCGGACAGCTTTTTGACATCTCTGTACATATTACTACAAAAACCCTTTGATATATGACCATCTTGCGCGTAGGACATTGCAGGAAATTGTTTTGTTTTGACTGATTGTATTGTTAATGCAGAAAACACATAGGTGTACAGTTTTTCTGTTTGGTCAAGGTATTCAAGACAAACGCACTTACATAAATTTACTATAAGCTATCACATTTTATCGATACTAATTTATACTGGTTTTAAATCATACGTTTTGTGTGCTTTTGATCGTAAAAGTGTATCTCAACGTGCACTTACTACGGCATTTTTTATTTCCGAGGGCGTTTAGGAAAGAATAAAAAACCGACAAAGTATACAATGAATAGAGAATTTAATTGTACGTTTTTTTCATACTTACATTGTATTTGGGAAAGACGACCAGGTGCTGCTGAACTTAGTAGGCCTTCAGAGGAGTGTTTACCAGTTATAATCTCGTATTATAACTTATGGCTAGTCACACGTCAGACCGACCACTACTCTCCAAAAAGTGGGATGAATTGTAGCGGTAAATATATCCTCGTCAGATCACTAGTAGGTACACCGTGCTACTCAGAGCTTGCAACTACATGACAGCTTGAACGAAACACCTCTCAACATATCGATGGATTTCCAAACATGCCATTGCCTTAACGTAGAAAGTCAGACAGTGTCGTTGGCATCATCTGATCCTAAGTGTCGAATTCTAGTTATATCTGTATGCAACAGACTAACTGTAAGGACAGAAGTATAACCGTAACGGTCTTCTCGTACTTATATGTGAGCTTATCTATGTGTGCTCCATAGATTAGCATTTCTCCGTTCTGCTGTGTTTCATCTACTGCCATCCGTATTTTGGTGTATCACATCCATATTTCTTATTCACTTGAAGTTATCATATTTTTCTAGTGTCTACAGACTCTAAAATTGACTGATTCCCCGATATCGTGAATTTTTTTATTAACTGTCACACCTCTGTTTTATTTAAGATTATTTAAAGGCAGTTGTTATATTGAGACACTTTACTCCGGTTATTTTTGTATAAACTGACAACTTTCATCTTGCATCACAGAAATTCTAGCCCATTCCCCTGCTTTTTTGAAGGTCTGCTTTTGATAACCAGTAATTCACTGTATTTCGCGTATAACCACTGCTATACAGTTGGTCACCCATGTTTGAAGCAAACGAAATGAACTCGTCCTTTTTATTGGGCACGGTAATGTTCTTTCATTGATAGAAGTATTTTTCGTGTTGTAAAATATGAGTTTTACCTAGTAAAGCGTAAATCGGAACAAAATCCCCCACTTCAGTGATATTCAGTGTTCCAGCCCGAGCTCCCTAGTTTGGGGAAACGCTCGAAGTCAAATGACCTTCACCAATGTTTGTGGAAATTTCGAGGTTTTTGTGCCACTATAGTGGCTTCCCCAAAATCGGGAGCTCGAGATAAAGGACGGAAAATGTTCATATAATTTCATTCCAGTTAGTAAGCAAAAACAGTTGCAAAAACAGAAACAAGTTACAAAGCTCTGATCAGTGAAAACAGCCACAAATCGGAAATCTTCAAAACATCTTTTATGATAACATACAACATGATGTGTCACGACTTTTCGGACAGAATATAATACGTGATGTGCTATATATTCTCTTTTGGCGATCTGTTCAGAAGTAAATCAACGGAATGTTAGGAGTGAATAAGTCGAATCACAGATTATATTTACAAGGGTATCAAAGGATACTGACTTCTTGGTGGTACTTTATTTATTATGACTTATCAGGAAAGACTTATGTTGAAATTAGTCGAAATTCTACAACGACTTTTATGTCACATTCATTTCTTAACCGTTACATTGATCTGCCTTACGGCCTGTTTATTTCCTATCTTCGTAACAGTAACTTGGGTCGGTGTTTGAATCGGACACCACTTTTTGTTTGTCTATTCTGTATTCTGTAGTAATATCAATGTGCTTATGATAATGAGCACATGTTGCAATCAACATCTACTTACTCAGAATATCACAATGCACAGAGATTAAAGCTACAACAGTCAAAACTAAATGCATGTGCAGGTTTCAATGATGTCCGATAAACAATAGTTTCATGTGTAAATTTTGATATTTCTTAATGCTAGCATGAACCATAAACCATCTTTATGTGATGTACATGTACCTCTTTAACTTAATTGCCTATCCAGTTGTATGAATCACAACCTAGGGAAAATAAACTGTTTTTAGTGAGGTGCTCGTACAGAAATATCTACGATTGTATAAGCTTACAATACTTCGATTTCTGTGTATATACAAAAGCTCGGCTCATTTTGGGCATCATAGGGCCCCACTTCTCTAAAAATAGACTCTATACTACGAATATACAAGTCTGTATTAGTTTCTTATTGTATATGTTGTCACAATTTTAGTCACCACTTGTACACTTTGTTCACGTTATGAAAGATTGGAAAGATTCTAATTGATTTAATTCATTGGTTGGCTTGTTTGTGAACTGCATTCAGATGACTGCTTTGTGTAAGGATACATTATACACGTTCTGAGAATGCTATGTGCCGGGCTTTAATTTTTCCGGGCTGCTTATTCATGGTCAGCTAGTGGTACCCATTGAAGCTAAAAAGGTCAGTGTGGGTATCTGACGATATCAAAGCTACATGCTTTCGGCTTCAATTAGTTGTTTATTTTGTGCTCAGGAGTTCAAAAATACCCAAACTGTCTCACACTGATCAGGCGTAACTTTGTTACAGCTTGTTCTTTTCGAATCCATTGTATATCCTGTTATAGAATGTCGTGTAATACTAACTGTGGACGGTTCATTATCGTTAATAAAGACATAATTGATGTGATGAAATGTAATCATGTCCTTTAATTGCCCGAACACTTATACTACAACAGTACTTTATCACAATAGAGCAACATGAAGCATATATTTTTGAAGATCACCAACTTAGGTGAGCTGAATAGATGACTAAACGCCTACTTGGGCTAGACAGGAATGGTATGAACTTCTAGTATACTTTGAAGTCGCGCCGTCCGGTAATGCGCAATAACGATTTAAAATTCATCGTATTTAGGTGCCGTGGATATTTTGATAACCGTACGGAACGAACATAACATTATTAAAAAAACGTATCAGTAAGAACGGCTTAAAGAAACAAAGTGCGACCACTGCCGTAGCCACCTGTTTATAAATTGCAATTGTCTGACGACAGCTGACTGTCCCTGATTTTGACGAGGAGTGGTAAATCGTTTGACTATGAGTGACATGCCTACCAGATGGTCCAACTTAAATCCAATTACATGTTACTGCAATTACGCGTCATTTTAGATGACCCCATATGCAAATAAACAAAATACAATTTCCAACAACTTAGGAGCGAAACGTTCTATCTATCAAACATAATCAAAACTCCAGAATATAAATGAGAAATTGCACATATAGACAATAGAGATATATGGGACTGTAAATAAACGGATATTATAATTTTTGATGTCGATTTTGTGACGACGGACCACGGGTAAACTTCAGGAAGCTATAACAGGCTCTGAAGGAGCCGAAGATATTCCATTCAATCACTGTTAAGAAGAATATTCTAGAATTCCTACGTGTACCTTCCCGATTGGACAAGGCTAATAACCCCCTGTATGCGGATTGGAGGATTATAATGATGATTTTCATTCTTACGAAAAACTACAAATACCTGACAATATGTACCCATAATTGACACTGTTTGAAATAACATTCCCTTCACTAGTCTTTTGTCTTCTCTTTGCGACTTGGAAGGGTTTTGGCGTTCTTGTGTTCAGTTATACGCGTTATATCAAGTAATCAACCTTCAAGATATTGTAGCGTGGTGTCGAGTTGAGCTGAACTATGAACACCGCTACCAGACTACTCGCCAATTAACCAATAAGATTCCGAAAGGCCAAAATATCAGAAGGCAGATGATTGTAGTAGTCGTATATATTTGTTGGCGATCTCGTGGTATCGAAAGAATACCGAGATCGTGCCAAAGGAGTACAGTTGCGATCGGCAAGATAAGATACGTGCGTAGTCCAAAAACCGCGTAAAAGCAATGGAATACAATGGAAGCCCAAAATGGCTGTTATTAGCACAGTTAAACAAACGAGCACAGTAAAACAGTCACTGGTACAATTGGTTATAATAATAATTGTTTTCATCGGACCAATCGCGTTCTGTTGACAAAAGTAGGTCACTACAGGAGCCCCCCGCTAGAAAGGGTTTACACTTTCGATAGTTAGCGGTTTGAGTCGTGGGACTGATCGGCAGAATTGCGGTTGTAGGACGGAGGAAATTGGCGGAACAGGAAGTGATCATTGATCCTCGAGTTGCCAACGAAGGTCTTTTGCGCAGAACGGTACCAGGAGAAGTGTGCTGTATTTGTTGGTCGGATTAGCATACCACACCAGAGTGGTTTGTATCCAGAATCTGAAGATTGCGTTCGTAGGGATGTGGACCAGAAAACGCTGCAGACGTAGGACGAAACCACGTTGAGCCAAGAAACCGGACGCGACCATAACTACCAAGCATATGCCAGGCGGATTCGAGACCAGATAATCGACTGAGTGCGTTGACTAGAGCGTGGGTGGCCAAACCAGCTTTTGCCAAAGTTGACTGAAGTCGACGTTACCGAACGGGCGATGGTCGGAGGCGTGGGCTCAGGATACAAAAAAAAATCAAAAAAAGAAAAGTGTAGCATGCGTGTAGTATAGGAATAATCCTACACCGTATCCGTTATTGACTGTGCGTTTAGTCGCGAAAGCGTACGGGTAATCGTACTCGGCGACCGGAACGTGAGACGGTAGTCTCGTTCGTACTTCGTGAACCTGAGATCTCATCCGAGGTCAAGGGCGGCGTGGTCTGCCGATCTGGACGTGAGACGGAAGTCTCGTCCGTAGATGGTGCAGATGACGCGTGCTGTTGACCGGGACGTGAGAACGAGGTCTCTGATGTATCTAGCGTGGGATCCGAGGTAGACGTAGAGATCCCGCTAGAAGGTTTGATAGGTCTAGCATTGAGTCTCAAGTTATCGGGTAGGGCACTGTCATCGACGTGTGCTGGTTTGAGACGATCAATGCTGACGATCTCGACGCGGCCGTGTCGATCAACCCTGAAGGTCTTTTCGTGACGAGAGATCACGTGTAAAGGGCCTTCGTAAGGCTGTTGCAAAGGTTTGCGTACCGAATCTACTCGTATGAAAACATGTGAACAGGTAGATAACTCTCGAGGGAGAGCGACCTGTCGATGTTGTATTCGAGTTGACACCGGAGACAGCGTTCGCATAAATGCAGACAGTCGATGGACGTAGTCTGATTTACCGAAATCATTACTGCTCCGTGGTGTGAAGAATTCCCCAGGCAGACGCAATGTCGTGCCGTATACAAGTTCAGCGGCGGAACATTGGATATCTGCCTTCAAACTCGTTCTGATGCCTAAGAGAACGAGCGGTAAGGTTTCGTACCAATTGTCGTTTTCGTGTGCTCGGAGAGCACTTTTAAGTTGGCGGTGAAACCTTTCGACTAAACCATTCGATGCTGGATGGTAGGCGGTGGTGCGTATGCGTTCCGTACCAAGCAGCCGGGTCAGTGAGGAGAATAATGCGGACTCAAATTGTTGTCCTCGGTCGGTCGTGACAGTCGAGGGACAACCGTACAATGCTATCCATCGTTCTACGAAGCGGTGAGCAACTGTCTCCGCCGTGATAGACGTGATGGGAATAGCTTCGGGCATCAGGCGTAGCGAACGTGCCAATGGGGGCAGCTACGTGCCTGTGCACTTTTGATCGTTGACACTGTAAGCATTGCTTTACCCACATACGAACATCTTTATTCATGGACGGCCAGACGTATCGTGCAGCGATGAGACGTAATGTGGCTGCGATACCTGGATGAGACAATCCATGAAGGGCATCGAAGACGAGACGGCGATATGTAGAGGGTACGATGGGTCGAGGAAGACCGGTAGAAATATCACATAGGATAGTACCTGAGCTAGTAGCTAGGGGTACTTCCTGACACTGAAGGGACGAAGATTGTGGTGCTTCTGTACAGACAGGATCGTTTGCTTGCGCGGCGGCCATAGCAGGAAGATCGAGCACCGGTAAAGTAACTGCATTCGTCTGGATACGTGAAAGAGCATCGGCAACATAGTTCGACTCGCCTTTAATGTGACGAAGGTCTGTCGTGAACTGTGAGATATAGTCCAAATGTCTGCACTCTCGTGGTGAGTAGCGGTCAGACTTGATATGCAGGGCATACGTTAAGGGCTTATGGTCGGTGAATAAGATGAATTGACGTCCTTCTACTGCGTGCCGGAAATGTTTGATGGCGCGGTAGGCTGCAAGCAGCTCGCGACCAAAAGCGCTATATCTCGTCTCCGTGGGAGTAAGGCGTCGTGAGAAAAATTCAAGGGGTTGCCAACTACCGGAGATATTCTGTTGCATAACGGCTCCTATAGCGAAATCTGATGCATCAACCGCTATACTAAGCGTGGCTGATGGGTCAGGATGAGCGAGAAGTGTAACTTCAGCGAGAGCCGTTTTGATCTCTGAGAATGCAGTACGTGCGGTATCGTTCAATTCTAATTTGCGTGGATTACCGCGTAGTAAATCGGTTAATGGTCGTAACCGTTCTGCCGCGTGAGGGATGAAACGTCGGTAGAAGTTAACCAAACCGAGAAAAGCCTTCAGTTCCTTGAGTGAGGACGGCACGTTGTACTCCTTGATTGCTCGAATTTTGTCCTCGCAAGGCAGAATACCCTCTTGTCTGATGATGTGACCCAGAAATATTATTTCTGATTTACCCAACTCACATTTCTCTGGGTTTACTACTATTCCATTATCCGAAAGACGTTGGAATAATAGCGTAAGGTGTTGATAATGTTCATCTACGTTTGATGATGCGATCAGCAGGTCATCAATATAGACGTGAACAAAATCCAAGTCTCGTACTATGCTATCGATAAACCTTTGGAAAGTTTGAGCAGCATTCCGTAATCCAAATGGCATTCGTAGGAACTCAAACAGACCGAAAGGAGTCGTGATAGCAGTTTTCTCGATGTCTTCAAGAGCGACTGGGATCTGGTGATATGCTCGTACCAGATCGATTTTAGAAAAGATAGTCGTGCCCTTGAGCGATGCCGTGATGTCGTGTATGTGGGGGATGGGGTAGCTATCAAAGCGCGTAACTATGTTTAATGCTCGGTAGTCGCCGCAAGGTCTCCAACTAACCCCATCCTTTTTGCGCACCATGTGTAAAGGAGAGGCCCAAGGACTGTGAGAAGGACGAATAATACCAGAAGATAGTAAATTGTCAAACTCACGTTTAGCGAAGGCTAATTTTTCCGGTGCCAGTCGGCGTGGTCTTGCCGTGACTGGTGGTCCGCGGGTGACTATGTGGTGTACCACACGATTGGTCACCGATGAAATCTCCTCGAATGGTTTAGTTAATCTGGGGAATTTCTCGAATAAGGCGTGGAATTTATCGTCACGCGAATAAAAAGTTCCGAGGATTCGGTACGCGTTTGTGTGAGCTTTAAAGCCCATGAATTTGCTGTTCGACGAAGTATCGATTAGCTGCAGCCTACGTGAATCGACTAGCAATTCATAGTGCTGTAGGAAATCAATACCTAGTATGGCTGTGGGAACATCAGCAATGATGAACGTCCACAGATACCGTCGTCGGTTGCCCAGGTTGACCGCGAGTTGTCGTGTACCGTAGGTAGGAATGGCTGAGCCATTTGCAGCGCGTAGTCGAAGCATTGTAGCTTGTGACTTGATGATACCTCGTGGTACGACAGAAACTTGGGCACCTGTATCCACTAGGTACCTAGCGTTTGTGCGATAATCGTGCACGTAAAATAAACGGTCGACCCTGGGAGCACGGCCGGCAAGTACGGCCGCTTTTACTCGCCGGCTTTGGAGTTTCCCGTCTAGTATGAGCACGGGGCTCGACAACGGCGGGCAACAGATCCGAAGGATCGATGAAACCAGCACCAACCTGCACTCGCTTCCGAAGCCGCCTTTTGGCGTGGCTTGGAAGATGCCCTCGTTGGGCGAGTGTTGACGGCTTTTCGAGAGCGTGAGCGGACTCGAGGGACGTAGGGTTGGGGTACGTTACAACGGTCTCGAAAACTAAGACGTGTGTGAATACACCCTTCCCTGTCACCTTGAGCCGAGGAGTGGTTGCCGTCGATATCGACTTTCGGACGAGACGTTGAGGCAACTACGTAGCTGTCTCGATTGCCAGTCCTAGCTAAAATTTTGTCTGCTGTGAGGGCTACCTGATTCAGTGGTGCGTCCTCGAGCAGGGCCGTAACTGTAGGTTGGATAAATGCTAGTAGAGATTCGAGCCACAGTTCTTTAACGATTTCAGAATCGGCTGCCGTGGGTCCTGCAAGAGATTGCAGGCGCGTGAGGTGGTGGCTCGGTTTAGCATCACCCAGGGGGTGACGTGCTAATAACGTCCTCAATCGTTCCTCCCTCGATGGAAGGAAATGTCTGAGGACCGCCTCCTTGAGACGATCGTAAACATTGGGCACATTGGAATTGAGGACAACCTCACGGACAGCTACTAAATGGTCTCCCGGTAAACATTCGAGAGCGTAAGTGTACTTCTGCCGTTGGCTTGTAATATGACGGGTCTCAAATTGAGACTCTATAGCAGCAAACCAAACTTCGGGATCGTGAGGAATAAAAGATACAGGTCGAAAGTGTATAACCTGTACGTCAGAGTCTATTACGTTAATATTATTCTTATCGTTATCCGTCATGTCAAATATATATATTAAAAATTAATATGAAAATATATGACAGACGTGGATAGATAAGCGATAGACTCACCAAAATTGACTTCTTTGGAAGGTTTGGTTGCGATTGCCAAGTGGTCGTAGATGTAGGTTCACCAGTTGCAGAAGATTTGTCCGAAGTTGAGGCGTGTTCCAAAATTTGGGTCACCAAATGTAGCGTGGTGTCGAGTTGAGCTGAACTATGAACACCGCTACCAGACTACTCGCCAATTAACCAATAAGATTCCGAAAGGCCAAAATATCAGAAGGCAGATGATTGTAGTAGTCGTATATATTTGTTGGCGATCTCGTGGTATCGAAAGAATACCGAGATCGTGCCAAAGGAGTACAGTTGCGATCGGCAAGATAAGATACGTGCGTAGTCCAAAAACCGCGTAAAAGCAATGGAATACAATGGAAGCCCAAAATGGCTGTTATTAGCACAGTTAAACAAACGAGCACAGTAAAACAGTCACTGGTACAATTGGTTATAATAATAATTGTTTTCATCGAACCAATCGCGTTCTGTTGACAAAAGTAGGTCACTACAATATAACAGATTTCATTACTGAATAAACAAACTCCAGGATTAAGAGGATTTATATTTTCAGGAGGAACTTCAAAACAGTTTTAGAACAAATAAAAAATCACTTTTTTGTAAACCAATTATATTACCTATATAGAATATAGAAGCTGAGATTGTTGTTTATTAGATAGTTATGCCCCATTCCATCTATGAAAAAAAATGGGGGGAATCGATTATTCGAATTTAGTGTTGGAGGAAAGACATTCACTGCACTAGTTGATTGCATCTTGTTTGAATCATTACTCGTCGGCCGCGGAAAAGTCTGTGCTCGGTTTTGAAATCAAAACGTAACGCGAATGGTTAGTTCCCTAAATTTCTCAACCATATTGTATGTAGGCAGGAGGTAAAGCTGGAAAGGACTCTGGTAAAGCAAAGGCTAAGGCAATTTCTCGGTCACATCGCGCAGGCCTTCAAGTAAGTCTTCTGTGATTTGAACTGCGTTTGTCATAATTAACTTTTCAATCATTCTTTTGGTGGGATGACAACCATTTCCCTAACCAAATTTAATTGAGATTTCGTTTCGAAAGGTACTAACATTGTGTTATATGTTCCGGTTTACAGAATAGAAAAGCATGCGGATTTGTCCTAGGAAATACTGCACCAATAATTGGTCGAAGTCCAGTTCCACATACTGAATATTAAGTACTCGTACAGTAGAACTAAAATCGTCAATGTACGGGGTTTAGAATAATGCATTTATTGGTAGTCATACCTTGACAGACTATAGTTATTGTGCTTGTCATCCATAATGAATTCGAAGCCCAGTGAATGGTTTAGAAATTACAGTACCAAGTCTTATTGGTTTTTCGAAACAAACTTTATTTATATCTGTAGGCTCTTTAGAGTCCTGCTGGACATCTATAAGTAGGTGGATAAAATTACTCTCCCAAGGTAACGTCTAGCAGTGCAGTGCCGGATCGGTGGATAAACTTCGAGTGTAATATACATTGCTGTACATTAACCTGTGGGTGTCCGTATCAGTAAGAAAAAATAATTAGAAGCAGGATAATTCGGAGTTAGTGTTCTTTGTGACCGTCTAAGTATGTATTTTTCATTTTACAGAAATGTGAACGTAGAATATCAGGTGAGATTATGGACGACGCTAAAACGATCTTGGAATGTCCATCTACTTATTAGGGTGCGTGAGAAATTAGATATAATGTACCCATGAACTGATATAAGCCGTAATACCAAAATGGTATTTGGCCAAATGAGTTGGTAAATTTCGTGCCCAAGTCCCAGATCTACCATCTCAAGTCTAATTGGTTCATACTTAAATGCAGTCTCGTCTAATAGAAAAATCGCACATGTAGTGCAATACAGGGATTCAATATCTAAAGGGAGAACGGTATATAAAAGTGAGAGATCGCTACTGATTTTAATTCTTTTTATCTCAAGTAACCATAAGTCATGATTATCGTACGGACTCCGACTTGTTTCTTTGTATCACGACACTTGTCAGTTCCACAGTGTAAAGTAATACTACATCCCAGTTCATCTGCCTACAGCTTCTACTAGACAACAATCAGGGAATTGTAAAACAGCCACTTCATCCAGTAAAACTCAATCTTATGTCGCATATCAAAAACCATTTTTGACTCAGTTATCTAGTCTTTTAAAATAATAAGAATTAATAATATCTGGTAATCGTGTTTGTATAAACCTTGTGTTTCCCTATTCTAGTTTCCTGTCGGTCGTATCCATCGTCATTTGAAAGCACGCACTACTAGCCATGGAAGAGTTGGGGCTACTGCTGCAGTCTATTCAGCAGCTATTCTAGAGTACCTGACTGCAGAAGTTCTCGAACTAGCTGGAAATGCAAGTAAAGACTTGAAAGTCAAACGTATAACACCTCGGCATCTACAGTTGGCCATTCGTGGAGATGAAGAACTTGACACATTAATCAAGGCAACCATTGCAGGTGGTGGCGTTATCCCCCACATCCACAAGTCCCTTATCGGCAAGAAAATACCTCCACCTAAACCCCTTTCAATGTAACAAGATTCATAACATGAATTTTATTGTATTACTTCTCACATTTCTATCGGTTACATTATTTTTAAAGAGGGTATGTCTCCCCTCAAACGTATGAACCCTATTGCATTATATGTGTGAAGTAGTAGATTTATTCAGACCTATTTTATTATCTGTCTGTATGTTCATATTTGTAAGTAAATGTCGAAATTAAATTTCCATTCTCTTAATTTCCATTCATTTAACAATTACCAAGCATTAGTTTTACTCTTGAGTTTGTCATCCTTTGCGATGCATGTATGTTCCCGCAAGTGCTTAGTTACATTTTTGTATAGAAACTGGTAATATCATAGGGAATGGTTAGTTTGTTAATGCCAAGAGTTTGTATGAATCTGAGTACAGCTGGTCGGTTTTCATCATCCCAAGGGTTCAACTCAAACAGTAAGAATTCCAATTCAGTCCTGTTTTGTCATTAGTTGAGACTAGATGAATGTGTTACTTTTGCGTAATGGAAGCTTATCATAAATATTGGCTCCCTGACATGGTGAAATGAACTTGCAATCGTTGTTTTAAACTAAGTTGGGAATTGGTCTATTGGTAATATCTTGCAAGATTTTCTGCCCGTGACCCACTGGCTCGCTAGTCGTCAGGTGTGTTGGTCCTGTTGTAAATATGCCTCGCGACGGTAGCTGGGTCAACTGATATCCGGTAAGTCTAATGCGACTGAACTAGGCCACAAAATATACTACTTAGGCATGCAGGGCAGTTCGTCCGGTCTATCAAAAGTAACACGTGGGTAATTGGTACTTACATATTTGCAAACTGGTCCACCTTTAAAATCTATTTGCCTATTCCGGCCGAAGCTGATGTATAGAGCTAATTGGATAAGAGCTTAACTTAGCAACTGGCGAATGTACTATTGGGTCTACAGTCACTGCTTCGTTAGTCTGACTAGTGCTTAAGCTACCTGCTGGACTCGCACTGTGCACCACTGGTGAGTTCTCTAAACTAAATTTAGTGGACTATGATTAACACCAATTGTTTCCGTCTCGTGTTCTAAGTAATCTGGTTGCTCACAATCAGTGACGTTTCTCTGCGACATCCTAGTTCCTGTGAAGATTATCCCATACGTGTTTTCGAATGATTTCTGGGTAGTCTATGGCATTAACTCTTAGAAATAATCTATAGTTTCTGGCCAGACTTGGAGTGTGACTACTCATCAACGTGGTGAGTTGCTACTGCAACTCGATTAGGTGGGACTTCTAAAACGGACCGAGAACGATAACTTTACATGTCTAAAGTGTTAGATTATGAATTATAAGACTCAAATAAAAGATGTTTTTATTACTGTGATAACCACGATATGGTCTCAAGTGAGTGTGTTGATTACAAATTTGTATCTGTAGGTAGTGGATCAAGGATAATAGTTCATAATGTGCTCATTACTAGCTATCCTCAACGAAACTAGTCACTCATGCAATTCTTTATGTCTTATAGTGCATTCCTTTTGAGAATGTATCTTGCCTGATCGACTAAGCTACAGTATCTACAACCCCGACAGGCATAATATCTTATCCAAGCAAGCACTTCACTATTTATTCAAGACCCATTTGGTATGCACAGAGCATACAGGTATGGTGTTTTTGGAACCTGATGCTAAATTTTGTTGAAATCTTCATTTGGCGATACCGACTAGGTAACTAAACAAATTAAAGAGCGATAACATGTTGGTCCTCATGCACTTTACTAATCGAATATTTCTAATTAGTTATGGCGTAGGTCACCTGATTTATAAGACATTTCAACCCTCCAATTAGACGATTACTTGTAGCTCAATGCACATGTAGTTGGTCATCTCAATGCAACAAATCTCTGTTCTCAGTGTATCACAATACCTTAAGAACTCATTATATTAGAAATTATTATCAGTCAAAGAGTATGACTAGGATAACAAATCATTCGCCTGTACGTGCGACAATCATTTATTCACACGCTTTGTGTCCCGAAGTTACCGAGCAGAACTGAAATAAAGAAACCTCGGGACATCTTAAAATGTTAAGTAATAACATGTAAACTTCTGATCGGTAGGCTTTGGCTCAACCATCTTAGCGAAAAGAAATGATTTAATTACACCCGGTCGATTGATGAGCTAGGAGTTCCTCAACTTAAAATCTTGATTCACGCAGTTATATAACTTTATCAGATTTATTCTGCTTCTAGGTTAGTCAGAATATATCACCTATATTCTCTCTATTCCAGTTCCAAAATCGCTCAATAGTAAGTGCCGAGTTGTATTCCTGCTTCGCAATTCCTTATAATGATAGGCTAAGTACTGCTATCCAATATTCCTGTTTAGGTGAGCTATAACTGAGAAGGGAGAACATGTACTTACTTTATTGTTAAACACGACCTGTTACTTATTATTATGTAGTCAATATATTATATCACCAGATATTGACTCATAAAATATTTAGTTACAACTTCATGGGTACCGACATTTTTCTCAAACCTACCGCACTTCATCCCTTTTGTTCTTGTCCACTTATATGAATTGATTAGTAACTCATTTCCAAGCACTGGAAAGAACAGACATTTTTCCTAAAATATCCACATTATTTAACGAATTATCACTCAACCATAAAAATATCCCTGAAAATACTTCAATACTTAGTTTTCTCACTAAAGTACAATGGTGAGAGCTTTTCTAACATTATGATATAAAGTGGGTACGAAGGTTCCACGTAGGGAATTTGGGAATACCTTATCCTAACCAACCGCACTCATGGGCTTCAAGATCCTGAAGGAACAAATGGCATATGAATCTTCTTGGCCACCATTTAACATAGGATCGCATCTACTTACGTTGCTCCATCGACATGTGGATTAGACCTTCAAGCCGAAATTTCGAGGAGTGGCCCCCTGAAAAAACCAACGGCTTCAGTCGGGGTACTCAGGGAGTACCCTAGCCCACACACAAATTTAATGATAACTACTTTGTGTGACATTTATTTTGGTGCCTCTTCGTATCAATGTTTATGTATTCAAATAAATAAAATGATATAAAGTATTTGCCCTAGTTTTTCAAAAAAGTAATAACTATTACCATTATCTCCAGATTATGACAATTGAAGGAAACTCGGATACGATTAACACATATGATACTGTATATTTTTGTAAGAAACATCCTACAACAATAACAATATTAGTCAGTAATTTTTTGTTGCTCAAAAATGCTAACAAAATCAAGAATAAATGGTGTACACATTGGATTTATTAAAACTTATATGAATAGAGAGGTATATATGTATATGTTTCTGTACAATGATATTTGATATGAAAACATATTTGACAGATTAGATTCGATTATGAAATTGAAGATTTTACAACTGACAGAGATGAATTACTATGAAGACTTGCATCAATTGATGTTGAGTCTAAATTCATAGCCTTTAAGATAAAAAAGAGAATTTGGAAAGAATCGAGTTTATTATGGTGATAAGAACTAAAGTTTATTTAACATTGTACTTATTGCTTGTATATAAAGTTATATATCACTATCAGACTTCGGTTAGAAAACCAGGAATCATTGGATAGTTTTTGCGTCCTAACATGAAGCATCTCAACAGTGCACACAAACAAATTTATAAGAGATGAAATTCACGATCACCAAGCACTAACAAAATCACTTAACAACTAGACCACTGCGTTGGGATCCAGTAGTTGAAATCATAAACTCCAATTAAGTCGTGACATTTCTGATATTATTAGGAAACGAGTATATATATATATATATAATTGGAACTTTTGGAAGCACTTTTTCGTATTGTTATTACATATATTTTTATTACATAGTTGGTGTATGACAGCATTATTGTATTTTTAGATTCTCCTTATTGTAAAATTCGAGTGGACCTATTAACCATAATGCGTTTTACCATTCATAAATTACTAATAGGAAATTATGTACTTATTGCTTAGCTATCTGCCACTTATGGTTTAACATTGTTGAAATTATGACTTGTTATTTGGTATATTTTGCGATCTGACAATTTGTGTATATAATTTAACAATTGTTTGATATAGTTACTGTGCTAGCTGGCTGGACTGAGTGATTGAAACATAATAATACTAACAACAGAATCTTGTTTGCAGACTTCTTCTGAGGCTCAAGGCTAGGGATGAAGCAAGGTCCATAGATAGGCGACCAATAGAAGCGTAGCTCAGTGTTAATTTTGTTGGTCAGAACGTATCATACCTCTAAGATAAGGAAGCTATGCTATAGTTGATAAGGTAGAGACGGGGTAGAAAAAATGTGACCGGAAATTCTGATTGGTAAATTTAGATCGTAGCAACGGTCAGCGTGTTCAGACACACCAGTTCAACCATTATCCGCTGGTATTGATAATATTTATATAACAATCAGGATACTAGAACAAAATAGCTGTCCAGCACCTGGTTTTCACTAATCGTTTAACCAAAATCAGTTTATGATGAGCAACTTCAAATTCGACAATCTGCATAATACCCTCTAACAACAATTATTACTTGTAGTTAAAAAACGAGATGGAATTTACCATGAAAAAGATATAAGATAAATTTAACCTTCACTAAGAACAGTGACAGATATAATAAACAGTAACGGGGCTTAAAAATGTACTTCTGTAATGTACTTATGTGTTTATTTTGACAGACATAAGTAGTATGTAATATCAATCAGAAGTTGAACGTCTGTCAAAAGAATGTCGAGGAGAGTGAACTGAAGAAAAAAGTAAAGGACTTGAGTAAGGATAATTGAGAAATGGAGGAATCGTGAAGCATGTAAAGGACAATTGATGAAAGATTTGAAAATGAAGTATTTAATTTATGGTTTTGGCATTTTACGAAAGAACTCTAACTTTGCATTAAACAATAAATTACTTGTCCCGACTTGAGTTCTCATTTACTACAGTCCTACTGATTGATCATGAATGAACCTAGAAAGTTTGACACCTAGAACTACCGAAGTTTTTTTTTTATAGAACGTCTGTTTTTGTTGATGTTGTGACAAACATACTGTGTATTGTTGTATGTAGCCTCCATTAGTGCTGACTAGTCGCCCTGTCTGCTTTGCATAATTCACACATTGTAGGTAAACAATAGACAGCATCAATAGGATGATAATGGCGTAATATTAAAACTTTAGCGTAAATAGAAATGTAGAACATTTTGATGATTGCATTTCAATGGTTTAGAGATTTTGTACTTGTCGAGAAATTCAAAGTTGCTTTATCTGTTTTGTTGTACATTTGTTAGTGTGTGTGGATACTGCTGAAGAGTCTCAAACCGGAACAAGACAGCTGTTGAGTACATGTTCATTTTTTAATGATCAAACACATGGTGATAATGATCCGTAGTGAGAATACACTTCAGGATGAACATTATCCATATAATCTAAACAATTATGTGTTTCATACAAGAAATACTGGCTGAAACTATCCTCAAAAATACGTTTGCCGGCTATAAATATAAACACATTACGAAATATATGCAGCTAAATTCACGAATATCTGGATCAAATGTTTCATTAGATTTTTGGTTAAAAAAAGGAATTTCAGTGTTAACTAGTAACATCCTATAAATAAAATTCTAGACTTAAATGAAACTGTTCCAGATAAAAAAGAGAGGGATTGAATCATAATTTACTTTATATTACGTAATGAACATTACTACAAAATTTCTTCAAGCAGACTAAACGCTGTTATGTTTTCTATGCCGCTAACAATAAACCTACTGAATTTGAGTTTTCTCTCTCAGAAGATCGGATAATTATTTTCATAAATATGACTCGCAAGTTACGCGACTATACAATATATATACATATAAATCCTATGATATACATGATTAGGAACTATTTGCAACAAAATTCGTGAGCACGAAATTCGTACAATGAGACAATAGTTACTCATAAGTAATATACTTATACTACACAAATTCTATAAAGATTGTTATCATGTAAAAGAGTAGATCCATCTCTTCACTAATGATACCGTTAATATATTGACTAACAAAATACTGAAATTCTTGATAGAGTTAGATGTAGTTCTAAGCGTAAAGATAATCCTGTCCTTTTTACAATGCTTGTCTAATATTTAAAAGAAATATTTTACAATGACCTTGTAATGTGTATACAATCTTGTTGATTATGGTCTCGCTGGAGGTGGATAGGACACACATTGAGGAAATCATCAAACCGCATCACGAGGCAAACCATAAAGAGAAAGGAAAGGAGTAAGAATGAGTCGAGAATCCGAAGCAGACATCAACAGAATGAATAGCATCTGGAAAGGATTGGCCGATGACAACGTTCGATGGAGAATCGTGGTGGGGGGCCTATGCTTCTCCATGAGGGGTAAAAGGTTTAATTAGTTCAGTAAGTAATTTCAACTGTATATTCAGGTTGAATTTAACCAGTTACCTAGTCTTCGATTGCTTTTATTTGAGATTTGTAAAAAAAAATGGAAATTGTTGCCGCACATCAATGGTATGATAATAAACAAGTACGGAAGTTGGTGCGTTTACAATAAGCAGCGTAAAAAAACATGACGCACACATGGAAGACTTAGAGATGATCATAGTATCTTTCTCATCCCTATCATCTTGGAATGAATGAAAATTTGCAAACTCAATTTATTACAGAGTTATTCTAAGACAAAGAAATAACCATTTGATCTTATTAATAGATCTGCTACAGAAATGTTTGACACTGGCATCTTAGCCGTTTCGTAAAGCCCTAGACTACTTATACACTTTAACTGGAACATTAGAAAATAGGCACAAAATGTGAGTAAGAGCTATTAACTCCTGGGTTAGTGATGTACGGAAAATTCATTGTAAGTACAGAGTTCCATATGACCTGAACCATTTACAAACTTTCTGGAAGAATAGGAAATATAGTAACGATATAGTTAATTATCTAACTAAAAAAGTAACACAAAAATTATACCTGTAGAGCAGCTTGTCGTACAAGTTCCAAATCTGAAAAATCTTCAAGATCATAAGAATCAGTGACAGTAGTATTCGATTCAATGTCTTGATGAGTTCCTAATATTTTTGAAGTATTACCATAAGACGACCGTTGTAATATATTATTCATTAATGTTATCCCATTATTATTCTCATTCTTATCAAAATCTCTATTATCACAATGTAGTTCTGATATTTTAGAAAGTTCTGTATTAGACATTTTAGCAAATGAAGATAACGTTTTATCTTCTTCGTATTCATTAAATTTGCTTAATTCATAAGAAAATTTCTCATTCTGTTCCTCTTTGGTATCATTAAATTGAACAATATTGGTTAATAAATGATTGTTTGAATTAATCCTATCGAAGTAAATAATAATAATAATAATAATAATAATAATAATGTTTTAAGCATTCATACCCATTTCTTAACATTATTTTACACACTATGGCATAGTGCTGATACCAATGATAAGGGTAATTCTAATTGTAAATACATCTCGATAATAGATATTTTTTCACTTAATATTCTAAATATATGCAGAAGATATTTAACTTAGGTAAAACCTAATTGTATTAGTCATTTATATTATTATTATTGTCTCCTGAAAGTGTTACATTCATATTACTTGGTTAATAATCTAAAATTGTAGTCAGTTTGTTAATTAGCGATATCGTATTATTCTAGATTATTTAAAAATTATTGTTTTCCTGTAACTTATTTCTTTTATCAGATCGTGGATGAGCACTTCTGAGAAGTTCCATACTAAGACGAAACGGCCGTTCAGTGCTTCCAGGTTTACCATGGTGGTCTAGCTTCAATCGACTCATGAATTCAACTATAAAATTATTTCATTTAAACTTAAACTGTCAAAACACATCCTTCAAACAATGTTTCATAATGGATAAATAAATGTTTGTTACATTTTAAAACAATTACATAATGTTTAATTGATAAGTAGGCTTAAAAATTATCTAGTTTATATATATATATATATATATATATATATATATATATATATATATATATATATATATATATATATATATATATATATAGTAAGGCTGACGTGCAAGGAATTCCTTAGTAGCTTGATTCCAATCCATTGGTTTTCCCTGTTATCATATTTATTACTGTTACTTTTGGTTTGCTACTGTTGTAGTGTCTGTACGTCATAATTATAGCTAAATAACTAAAGTTGATTTACTACAATTTCACCTTTTGTCAAGAACGTATCAAGCTAACATAAAGATCTATTTTGCTATTTCTTATTTAAATTGTTCTAACTTATTAGTCACCTGATCTATCTAGTTTGCGTAGATCATGTTTTATATTGAAAAAACCCCCCATTCGTTGAGAATTACTATAAACTACAGAAAATCATAAGTGCTTAGCAGTGAGCATCCACCATCCCACGCGCGGAACTCGAACCAAGAAACTTCGGTCTTGCGTGAAATAACATTGATCAATTCACGATCTCGATGAAATTCGAAAATTTTCACAACTCAAAATTGAAAATTATCATGTGCTCACTATTGACTAGCTTCGAGAGGAAATTCTCGAAGTTCTAGTGAGAAGCCGTGACCGGTGGAGTCCAACCGTTTTGGGTATGAGGCAGTTAAACCACAAAAGACAATGGATGATGATCACGTAACAACGTGGATTGGTTGAAGTTAGACATTAATACCAATGAATGCCAGCTCAATATTCTGAAGGTTAAGTGTTCGAGAGGAACCGGAGGTCCTGGGTTCAAATCCCGCATATGGGACCTTGGGTGCACCCCAATGAGCGGCCGCATGCTAGGATGAAAAGGCTGTCTGGTGCTCCGAGGTTTTTAATGCTGTTTTAACATTGATCGGTTCATGATTTTAATTAAATTCGAAAAACTCCACAACCCCAAACTTCAGGAAATCGTAACACTAACAATCTTTAACAGCATAAACTGTATAGATAATCACGACTTCATACAACAGAACTCATTTGGTTGAGCTACGTTTTAGTAGTCAAAGCACTTGACTAGTAACCACAAATTTCCAATGTTCAGCCACGTTCCAATAACTTCGGTTTAGACAGTCAGGTATTTTTAATATACGCAAGGATGAGTTCATGAATCCACGTTCCATTTCTAAGTTACACTACAAAATTAAGTACTCATTAACCAAACTAAACAACTTAAAACAACTGTCTAAATGCTAAAAAGACGTCACAAATAGTAAAGTGATATAAAAATGATGATACCATTTTGTACTTGTTAGTTATTAAAATACAATGAAATAGAACACTTTGCGAAGAACATCACAAACAACAACTACAAACATGAATAATCCAGTGGAGATTTAAGTGATATTAAATTTTTCTACTGAACTCTTAAAACATATTAGTTTGTCCCATTTTGTAATAGGAAAAAATAACTTTCTTACAGTTTTATGCACTACATATATCGAGTCAGTCAGTCAGTCAGTAACAACGTGGAACTTCGTACGTGCGTACATCAGTTCGAGTTGCCATACCACATTAGCACAGAGATTCAGTTATCGATTCAAATCCCATAGTGGTAGAGGTACTGAAAGTATAAGTAGAGATAGGGGACATTAAGGTTTGATGATGTTATTAAAAGAGTATAGTCCAGTGGAATAAATTGGGAAAGAAAATAAAGGACATGAAGAATTCAGTAGATTAGGATTTGAGAGAACACAAAGAGTGGATGCACCTGCGCCATTGCAAACGATTTTGAGCCATGTCATTCAAGGTCTCTAACCATCGGTTGCTATCGTCTCGCGGTCCCCAACCAAGTAGTCTACACCTACCAACATGATTCAGTCCACTTGTCAGTGACTTCATGGATTTCTGCCATGTTTTGGTCTGGCCGCCCCTAGCTTTCTTCCAACCTACTCCTACACCATAAAACATAGCACGTCGGGGCAGTCGGTGGTCGGGCATGCGCAACACATGTCCCAGCCATCTCAAATGATTGAGTTTCACTACTTCATCAATTGATTTGCCATCCTTACCTAGTACCCGTTTCCTAACAACTGAGTTACTTACTCGGTGGTCCCAGGATATACGAGCAATGTTTCGAAGACATCTATGATCAAATACTAGTAACCTACGAATATCCTCGACTCTTACCGGCCATGTTTCACTGCCATAAAGTAGGACGGAACGAACTGCTGCGCAGTAAACACGTCCTTTGGTTGATAGACGGATATCTCGCCTACGCCACAAATGACGCAAGTTGGCAAAAGCTAGTCGAGCCTTTTGTATCCGTGCTGAGATTTCGTCACACACCAAACCACAAGGGCTGATGAGACTTCCGAGATAAGTGAAGCGGTCGACACGCTCAACTACTTCACTCCCTATCACTAGTCCGGGTGTCGACGCAACCCGATCCTGAAGTAACATTTTGCATTTCGAGGGAGAGAATCGCATGCCGAACAGTCTTGCATTGTTGCTTAGAGTGGTCAACAGACTCTGCATTCTGTCAGCGTCTTCACCAAATAGAACTATGTCATCGGCATATTCTAAGTCAACAAGTGGATCTCCCGGTAGAAGTTCAACTCCTGGAAATTTAGATGAGGAAAGTGTCATCTCTAAAAGGACGTCAACGACAAAGTTAAACAAGAATGGAGAGAGTGGACAGCCCTGACGAACACCACTTGAGGTAATCAATTCTGATGACAGTTCACCATAAGCTCTCACTCGACCAGTTGTGTTCGAGTAGAGAACCTTTATAAGGTTGACGTACTTCTTTGGTACTCCCTTCAGTGACAAACATTGCCATAGAACCTTACGATCAACAGAGTCAAATGCCGCCTTAAGGTCGAGAAATACTACCATTGTGGGACGTCTGAATGTGTGTCTATGTTCTAGGACCTGACGTAATGTGAATATTTGATCAATGCAACCACGTCCAGGTCGAAAACCAGCCTGGTTTTCTCTAGTCTGCTCTTCACGAGCTTTGGTTAGACGTCGAAGTATTATTGAAGCTAATATTTTAGACACTATATCAGTCAAACTAATTCCTCTGTGATTGTCACAGGAGGACTTTTGTCCTTTCTTATAGACTGGCACAATCAGTGATTGAGACCAGTCAGATGGGATTACGTCCAGTTCCCAGGTTCTACCTAAGACCTCAGTCAATCTCGCTGCTAATACTGGACCGCCATCCTTAAAAATCTCAGGGGTAAACCTGTCAGGGCCTGCTGCTCTCCCACGCTTCAGATTTCCTATAGCTTTTTCAACTTCGTAAAGAGTCGGAGGACTTACATCAACTTGCCATTCAGGGGGGATCGTGGGAAACCGAAGTGTGGCTGAAGGCCAGTTGAACTGATCCCTAAAGTATTCTGCCCATCGGTCCAATCTCCTGGATTGAGAATGAATAATATGTCCATCTTTCTCTGCGATTGTTTCGCTAACAGTTGGGTTCCTAATACCGGTTTCCTTAACAAGTCTGAACAGTTGCCTGCTGTTACCTATTGCCGCTGCCTTTTCCATCTCTCTTGCTTTCGCTACCCACCACTGTTCACGATCTTTGCGTAGGCTTCTAGTCAGCTTACGCTTAAGCTGACTCCGCTCTTCGTTATGTTCAGAGCCAGATGGAATGAGTTTTCGAGCATCTATCAGTGCGGTAGATGCTGCTGAGATCCAGTGTTTCTCCCTAACCTTATGGTTTACCGTACTTGCAGACATCACTGCTGTTTCTACAGCTTTTCGGATGTCATTCCATACTGCCTCGGGGTGGGTATCACTTACATGGCTGCCTAACTGTTTTTCTAGATGTTCCTGAAATATACTCTTAGCTTGACTATCATTAAGTAGGACCCTAAGGGGTTTCCTTGCAGCATGTTTCCTACGTCCAGTAAGACGTAGACAGATAGGCGCTCGCACTAGAGCATGATCTGAGTCTAAGCATGTGCTCCAGAATGAGCGACAGTCTTCTATCGAGCCCCTCCATCGGTGGCTGATAGCGATGTGATCTATTTGGGTCCAGCGTTGAGACGAATTAGGGGGTCGCCATGTCAAAAGATGTTTTTCCTTATGCTTAAAGTTAGTGTTTGCAAGAAACAGGCGGTTATCTGAGCATAGCTGCAACAGACGGTCGCCGTTATCTGTTCTTTGAGCCGCGACACCATAAGATCCACCCAGGTGTCTTTCCTTTTCGCTTAGTTTACCTACTTGAGCATTAAAGTCACCAGCCACTATTACTACATCTGAACGCCTAGCTTTTCGGAGAAGGTCGGAAAGCTTTCTGTAAAACTCATCTTTTACATCATCTGAGCTGCAGTCAGTGGGAGAGTAGGCAGAGACGACGAAGAGGCAACGACGAGTGTCCCTATCTTTTCGAATCCTTACTGTTCCGTTTAGTCGGACAGCACACAAACGACTGTCTACTGGGATCCAGTCTAAGAGAGCTAGTTCTGCCCTAGGACTCAATGCTATACCTACGCCAGCGAGGCCACGGGATGCAGCATCAGGGCTTCCAGATATACGAAGCGTAAATCGAGTTGGTTCGTTACTTTGACATGGTGCGGTCAAATGAATGACACTACTAGGATCCTGTGTGCGCGTTTCGGAGACGCAGCACACATCGATGGAGCGAGATTCTAAAGTCTTAGCTAAGGAAGCCTGTTGTCCTATTTGGCACAGTGTTCGGACGTTGAAAGCTCCTACGTGTAGTTTAGAGCGTGGTTTCAGGAGACCAGGAATAACATTCCGCGTACTCGAATCGTTCGCACTAGCGGGGCGAGGTGATAAAGGGACGTGAGAAGGGTTAATCGTGAAGATAAGAGAGTTATTAGGAGGTGTAGGAAGGATTTGAATGTGACCAACTTGGTCTCGTGTGCTATTACGGGTATGAGGGCTGATATCACTTCCCGGTTGCCCACACCGTGGAAGGGTATTTCTTGGGGGACCTGAAAAGGAAATCGGATTAGTGTTGGTCTTAGCGACCTGAGTGCGTGACCGCAGAGCACAAGGGACAACTGCTTGAGGCCGGTCGCGCACGGCCTTTTTGTGGGAGGTTTTTAATGTGTTAGCTCCGTTCTTCAAAGGGCCTTACCGCCGGAGACGGAAATCCGTGGGGTAAGGTGAGGTGTGACATTTTTAGGGTCAACCTTTTCTAACCCCTTCCTTCCTTGTGAGAAGGCAGCATCGCTGCAGATGCTGGTTGTCCGAGGGAAACACCTTACTGCTGTCACACCTCTGTACAGTCAGCAGTACGACTTCGCCCTCAGACCTTGAGTTGCTGCTTTTAGTCTTACCGTTCTCCAATCGACCTGCCTGGCATGGTAGAACCTGCAGGAACTTGAGTTCCAGCCAATATAGCTCGGTTGGGTCATCACGATAGGCAAGCCCGACCACCACGTCAAGGTAGCAGCTACGGTCGGGTATATATCGATACTAGTCGACAAACCATATGTCGCAATAGAATAAATCTTTTCTTACTAAGTACATCCCCTCCCTTTAACATTACTAACTTGTGATCCACTTAAAAGTGTGAGGTTATTACTTGTATTACTCATAAAGCAAGTAACAATAATAATACTCATCATGACAACAACGACTACTATTTATACACCCTAAATACATAACACAACTTAGACAACAATAACCACAATTCAACATTTTTATATTCGTTAGTTATCATTTCAAAGCATTTATCTAGTCCCTGAAGCTTTCAAACTAGTCAAACGTAACTTATGAGGATCAATTTTGTGAAATGATTAATGTACATTCATCAATAAGTATGAATATTTTTACCCTACATGTGGCTAATCACAAAATGAGTAATACAGTGATGATGTCTTTGGTTGTAACACTGGTTGGACAGTGTTCAAATCGTATGGGAACCATCAATTACTATGGGGTTACAGATATGTATTGTTGGCGAAATGGACGGCCTTTTCGTCCTATTGTGGGATTCCTCAGCAGTGAGCTGTTTCTCAAACCATATGTACTGCTCAATTCAATAAATAAACTAACATCCAAAAAGAATTTGCATTATACTATATAATTCTCTATCGTATCAACTAACACTTGAACAGATGAATAGGCACTAATACAAACTTCATTCATTTCATTTACAAATCATTATAAAATAGATAATCCATGATTATTGACACGCTAGTTTGTTGTACCTTTCAATATTATTCTCTTGAATTAAAGTGTTTAACGGACCATACTTAAAATTTTTGCTAGCTGTCCACAAATCTTGAAATATTAACCTCTTCAAAACAAAACTTTATATTCAATCAGTTCTAATAAACAACTAAAAAACTAACAAAGCATTATACTTATAGAGTTTCTAGCGATCATTTAATTCCGTAAAGGGTTTAAGAAATTTTCATCCCGAAACAATACCAAATGCTAATAAATTTCAAAATAAAAGAGCATTAGACAACTGTTTAAATCTACTTAAAAACTAGTCAGTAGTAAATAGACATAATTCTATATAGAATCAGACCGAAAATCTTTTCAGTAGTCGTACTTAACACTACAATTTCTTAACTATGGAATCAAAATACAAATAGTGATATTTCCAATTGAAGGTGATATTAACTATGTTCATAACTCACCAATCAAGTTCTTGTATAAACGTCTACCATGTCAATCATTAGACTATCCCTGTCTCAAGTAATCCGCCAATTGAAGGACATTATTATCCTATTATATTAGTATGACTCATAGTTTTTTATATTCATTCCGATAAGACATGTGATACTGGTCGGTATGTTTGTGTTTCACTTAATGACTATAATTCCTTTAATTATTGTACCAATCAATAAATATAAGGTTTAAAGCCAATATGTCCTTGTTCTAACTAGAGCTTTTACATAGACTCTGGGGATCGTCAGTATCACGTTCACGATTCTCGTAGAATATCTGTATTTACTTACTTACGCCTGTTACTCCCAATGGAGCATAGGCCGCCGACCAGCATTCTCCAACCCACTCTGTCCTGAACCTTCCTTTCTAGTTCTATCCAATTGTTATTCATCATACTTCTCATATCTGTCTCTATGTCTCAGAGTAATGTGTCCTTTGATCTTCCTCTTCTCCTTTGACCTTGAGGAGTTTAAATGGTTTGAATTTTTTTCTGGTTAGCGCATTTTTTAACGAGTTAGTTTCCTACAGGATGGGGTCACTAATCCTCTTCCTCTATCCGAGTTTGGGATCAGCAGTAACCCCAAAGGGGCTCCAAACGGATTTGCAGAATATCTGTAGGATAAATTAAATTCTATAGTTGATTTTACTATGTTACGCAATTATACACCAATACATTATGAGTACATGTCTGTCTTTTTGGATCTGTTTTAATTCCATTGAATACAGATTATCATTATTATCAGTATTATTATTATTACTATTATAATCACAAAGATGAAGACAAAAACACAACTTGAAAAATTGACAACAACATACTTCAATTCATTATTATCTTCTATATGATTTTGTCCAATTATATGATTAGATAATTGAACACAATTTAAATCATTACTATCATCATTTTTCTTTGTATTCAATAGATTTACATTATTCAATGTATTCCCTATTAATAGTTCTTGTCTTGGATCATAATAATTATCTTGTATATCAGTTTGAGTATAATTAGAAGATAATTCAATAGATTTATAAGTAGAATTGGTTAATTTAAGTGAAATGGATTCTTTCCACGATTTTAATTCTTCAATCTAAATATTCATTAAACAAATTAAAAAAACGATGAAAAGTTCCAATTTGATTTTTTTTTTGGTAAAATAAATAATGATAAAACACAAAATCAGTGTATAATCTATTTCATACCAACTTAATAACAATAAAGGGACGAAAGGAATTCATTTCAGTTTATTTGATATATGATTAGTCAGTTAGTCAGCCACAACATAGGACCAGGCACGTATATGCATGGGTTCAAGTTGCCATTAGCACAGCAAGATGAACACCGGATTCATAGGAGTGACTAAGTCAATGGTGGTAATATATAAAAGAAAGATTGTATATAGGGATATAGTACAGGAAGAAAGAATTAGTTCGTAGAAAGAAGTGATTTTATTCTCTTAGTTTAAGGGAAGACAGAGAGTGTATACACCTACGCCATGCCACCAAGAGTCTCCAACCATTGGTTACCATAGTCACGCGGACCCCAACCGAGTAGTCTGTATCTACCAACATGGCTCAGACTAGAAGTTAGTTCCTTCAAGCACTGATGTCACGTTTTGGTTAGGCCGCCCCTAACTTTCATATTGAATGTTTCGTTTTCGTTGAGTTTCATCAGCTGAATTTTCATATATTTCAGAATTAATGTTAAGCGGTTGGAACAGAACTACATTGGGTTTGAGATGTTAATGGGGTACAGGTACATCCAGTTAATTGGTATCAAACAGGGAAAAACGCATATACTAAACTTCACTTCAAACAATATACCAAACAGACAAAAATTTGTATCATAAAAATATATCGAGACAGTTCGTTCAAGATGCACAAAAATCAAAGAAGACTGAATAATTGCGATCTTGAATATCAACAACGACAAACTGTGAAACCTTTTGACAAAGCAATTCGTTTGTTTTAATTTTTACATTTAATAAAATGGTTACGTATAGATAGCATGCCGATTTTAGAGTCACAAGTCACAAATAAATTTCCATTGGAGAAACACCCTAAATTTGTGATTAGTTATAAACTGTTTTTTCAGACTGAAATCTCTCAGTGATCTACATTCAAGACCTCTGTACGAAATCAAAATCAGAATCCCGCTTTCCATCTTTCCTTCTGTCTGCCAAAACGAATGTATGGGACAAAAACATTCGAAGCACCCGTGTTCTATAACCTCCTTGTTATTAAAGACATTTGTAGATAAATCATATACGATGTAAATGGGATCTGTATTTCATCTGCATCATTAAAGATTCAATCATATTGGAGTCAGAAAATCCCCCATCTAAAATATGTTAAAACAATTTAACAACAAACTCCAACAATGATGACGAAATAATACTTACGCAAACCAGTTTACTTCATTGAACATTAGTTAATCACTGGGTAGTGATCAATATCATGTATGTAAGGTCGTTTTTAGTGCTGGCCGAATTCTATCGATCAAGTTGCAATATGGTCGTCAGTCTAATTGACTTAACATCGCGTGCACTGTGTTGAGATGCAAGGTAGTTGTTGGAAGTAGTGGATGATAAACACTGGACCTAGGTTTCATGCTATTTGGCACTCTTCAGCAAGGTATACCTGTGGCCTTGAGGGAACTGATGCACCCGAGTGTATTAAATCACAAACCAGTGATCAATCATTTGTAAGTACATCTCAGTCCTACAGGCGGTCATTTGCTACCCGGATAGCTCAGTAGTAACATTACTAACTGTGAAGCTGGGTGACAAAAGTAATTGAATCCTTCAGGAAGCATTAGTTTCCACTAGATTACAAGTACATTTCCCTGACGAATGTCAAATAGTAGGAAACCTAGATCTAAGGTTTCCTGTGGACTATTTCCTACTACCATCTTATAGTTTATTTTATGCACAATGCACATTAATCAATTCCATCTTACGGCAGTCAGTCTGGATACGTTAGTAAATTTGTCTTGTCCATAAAAGGCATAACACGAATTCACGTTCATTACATAATTCTAGTTCACCTGAATCAACAATACATTACACATGTATATCGTGTATAGTTTACTCATCGTATGTAATTCATTCGAAATGTTATCGATAAAACTATGTTTCAGGAAGTAAATATCTAGAATACAATTGACACGCGAAAAAAACCTATTCGGTGTTCAAAGATATTAGTAAGGGAAATTATAAAATTACTATAATAAATTTGAAATTCCTTTACATGATATGACCAGTTATTCGTTTGAAAAATGAGGAGAGCTGTAGTAGTTTGAAACAAACCATTTTAATTCGAATCTATAATAAGTAACCATTTATATTGTGACCGTCAGTAATCCAGTTAAAAAAACTATCATTTCTTGCAATGCGCAAACTACAATTTATAAATCATTATCGACTTAAATGTTTCGACTGTGGTGTGTATTTTTTATACAGACAGATATAAGTAGTATGTAGCAGGAATAGAAAGTGGAATGCTTACCAGCAGAAAATTGAAAGGAAGAGGAACAAGCAGGAAAACGAAGAGCAATCGAAATAACAAAAGAATTAGAAGAATGATGGAGTATGTAAAGGACAACTGAAAGATGTGTCAATGATGTATTTAGCGTATGATTTTCATATTTTACAGAGGCACTGTGTGATTATGCATTAAACAATAAAGTAATTTACACCCGAGATTTTATTCTCTACACTACTACTTAAAATCAAGCATATAGCCGGTAAATAATCTCATTTAACGATTTCATGACAGGTTCAATTTTTGTGCTCATTCACAAAATAAACCAGTAACATGAAGGTAATAAATACTATTTACCTGGCAGAAAGGTGAGCATATGAAAACATTTCATTGAGAAGATTAGGTTCTCCCTACCTTCAATCGTATAAGGGCATTTAGAGGCCTTGATTTCAGCTAGAAATGATCAATATTTCTAAGTATAAATTCGGTTATTTTTAGCTTTTATATAAGATTTTCCGTGACATTACTGAATTATCTACCTTTAAATACACCAATAATAAGATTTTTTAAAATGTTAGAAAATAAGTTAACTTACTTCTTTTAATAAAAACTGAATAGAATTCGAATGTAATTGATTCAGTTTAGATTCAGCTTCATTGGATTTAAATTGATTTTGTAATTGTTTTTGTAGAAATAAAACATGATCTTGTAATAGTTTAGTTTGATTACCACATGTTGGACAATAATTAGATAATGATGTTGCCATGGAAGATGTTGAAGATAATAATGTTATTGGATTAGAATTATTACAAAATCTGTTAGTATTTAGTGTAATTGGATTAATCAATGCATTATCTAACATAGTAGTTGTTGTGTTATAACGATCAGCTGTACAAAAGGAATAGTTTATATTGTATACAGTATAATGATATTTTTTATAAAATTTGTAATGAGATGGAAAATCAGAAGAAATTAGCATTGGATTATGTATAATAGAGCAACTTAATCTAAACATCATGTCATAGCCACTGCTTGTTTGAGTGATAAATATTTCCATTGATTTCACGCATTTAAAGAACTAAATATTGACATTTTCACTTCGTTAATCATGACATACAAGCTATCTTGCAATGCACTTTTCAATTTCGCGCGAAAATCTACGAGGAGCTATCTTAATTCTGATTGGTTACTTTAAGGCCGTCAGTACAATATACTTATCACCATATACATATGTAATTATCGAAATTTGATGTGACTGATTGAAAGGAAATCAATGATCCTACTACTAATAGATATTTACACTGGTTTATGGTGTTCTACTCGTAAATGTGTGGAAAGTTAGATTTGAGACGGACAGATTGTGTTAAGATAAATGCTTTGTTTTAATACTGATGATTAGAATATAACTGGTTTTAAGCGGTTAAGTGCAGTCGATACGCGAAATTTCCATGATATTTTGTATATTATAAATAATCGGCCTACAGATCACTGGTTGATTCTATGTAATTTATTAATTACATAGGGTGATAAGAAAAATATTTGCTATAAAAGCATATTGTTTCCTAACCGACAGCGAGCAGTATATAGTTGTAGGTTAAATGTTCAAGATTATAAATTTAAATGTCAAATGAATATTATCAGAAACTCTAATACAGCAAATGTGAATTCAGGCTGAATGCCGGATTTACTAAATTAAGTTAGTAAATAATGAAGTGTGATTCACCAGAGAGTCGTAATTAATTGACATAAATACTAGCAGTAAATGAAATGGTGAGTCATTAAGACTATCAAGCTGGATAATCCAAGCTCGAAATCCTACAGAATGCGTTAGTTCTCTTCATGTGGACTAGTTCCCATCACCATGAAACCTAGCTCAAGAGGGATTTCCAGCAGGTTGACCCTCCAACCACTTAATATCTCAAGATAATGAGCACGATATTGAGTCATTTAAGCTAATGACTACATAAAAACCTATTCGATAGGATCCCATCAGCGCAAAAAGACTAAACAAATATGACATTATCTATTTACTACTCAGTGATCAATCAGTTCGAAGAAAACATAATTCAGTCAGTAAACGTAGGATCAGGCACATATATGCATCGGTCCAAGTTGCCACAGCGTATTTGCACAAGATGAACACCAAATTTATAGAAGTACTTCAATGGTAGTAATATATAAAAGAAAGATTGTGTATACGGATATAATACAGGAAGAAATAATTAGTTCATAGAAAGAAACGTATAAAGCAATTGTAATCTCACGGTTTAAGGGAAGAGAAAGAGTGTATACACCTACTTTGATATTCATCTTGTTAATTTCAATTCGCTCTATTAATGGAATGTGGTGAATTGTGTCAATACACATATTTAGCAGACTCTACATTAGTTACAACTGACTGAGTATAAAAATTCTTAGAAGTGAGTTTAATAAAACAAGTTGACAAGTTAAATAGTAAGAACTAGTTAAACAATATAAACTACAAAATGAAACCTACTGGTTACTGAATTCGATTCTACATGATTATTATTATCATTAACGTCAGTATTAACGGCTAATTTCGAATCTTCATTCACTTCAGCCGATTGTATTGACTGTCTATTAAAGTATAAAATTAAAAAAATAAAATGGAAATTATTAAATACTGAATTCAACCCTATTTGTAAATAAAGAATCCTTAGATTAGGGGGTCTCTGTGATTATCAGAATCAATAGTTGGAAACGATGAATCAAATGGCTCATAAGCACTACTACCTGTGTTCATATTGGTTATTACGTAAATATAAGAAAATTAACAATATCTTTAGAATTGCTTGAAGTGGAAGCAAAACTTAATCCCATCGTTATTTCATTTGTTAATATTTAAAAAATTATTCAATTTATTTAAAAATAACACTATTAAAAGGGAAATATTAGAAGTATGGAGATCTCAACGATTTGATAACAACTATAGATTTAAATATACCAGCCGATAAAAAATCCCAAGCATAATTCAAATTTTACAATAGAGACTGGATTTGGTTACATTTTTGTGACCCGTCGATCTGACTGATTTAATCGTATGATGATGATAATTTAATAGTGATGCTCTCTACCCTCATGTAAGAATGGATTTCGGATACGTATATTTCATACACTTATCGATTCACACAGATAATCAAAGAAAGGAAGAAGCAGACTACGGAAAGGAAATATACCAACCCCGTATGATCAAGTGTGACTTGATATGCGTAGCCAAACAAAAATATGTTACAGACATGTAGATGAATAGGATAAGCGATGAACACACATGTAATCATATTACAAAAAATCAAGGTTAATAAACGAATAATTAACAAGGTCAAAATGTGACTCAAAAATAAAAATCAATTGGTCTGTCCGGAAACTAGAATAACCCATGTGAGCCTGACATAGTACTAGAGGCTGCAAAACAACTAAAAATCACTGGAAAAACGTTATATTCTAGTACAGAGCCCCTTAATAGAGCAGATTCACAAATAAGACAAAACAGCTGTCCAGTAATTTCTGACTTTCAGTGGTTGCCTAACTAAGGTCAGATCATCCCCCAAATGCCTTGGTACGGCAGTGAGTGGGAAGAGTTCGCTCACCCACTCGAAATGCTCTCATATGACCACGCGTATATAGCCTCTGCCAGGGAAGTCCTACTCACTGCCTTCTCTCACTTGGGGTGTTGTTTACGAAATTGAGAGGACGGAAAGCGAATGTCCAGAGCTTTAACCGGGTTGGTGGACATGGAGGGCCCACCTAGGGGAGTTGCAAAACCCTGGTTCCAAACCAATGGTGCATATGGGCCCCGGTATCCTGAGGGAAAAAATGGCGTATGAACCAATCGTCGGTCACCGGCTACTATGAGACTGCATCTCCTTACAATGCTCCACTGCCTTATGGATCAGACCTTTAGGTCGAAGGCTCCGGGTGTGGTTCTCTAAGAAAACCATCTGCTTCGGTTAGGGCACCTGGACAGTGTCACAGCCCCCACACATATCTAATGATATTTGTGTGGCGCATATGTATCTGGTGCCCCCTTGTACCAATATCTATGTGTTTAAATAAATAAATGAATAAATAAACATGGTATAAAATACAAAACACAACAATCTCCATACCCCTTCATCCTAATAGTTCAAAATATCATAGATCACTATGAAATATCAATAAAATAAAGCCCACATGACAACAAACAAACAAATAAGTAAGAAAGTGAAAACATAAGAAATGATGATTGGTCAATTAAAATTGAGAAATAACAAATAAAATACATTTTAATTTAAAAAAACATAAACTATGATGTTTGAGACTGAAGCTATTAATCTTTTTATTGAAATGTTAAATGGACATGATAAACAAGTCTATATTCAGTTCAAAGTTTCAACTGAAGAAACCGATACATTAGATCTTGAAAAGTATGAAATAATTACAAATACGTGAGTGACAATGTAACAGAAATCTATGCTTCATCGTACTTTACTAATATTTTTACAGATAAGTGAATTTTTAAGAGATACATTTATTGGAATTTTGCAGTTGTTTATTAGAAATACGATGAAAAGTATCGACAAGCTGTACAATAGAAATATTCCTATCTTCCAAAAATCCACCAGTTTGAATCACACGTTTATTTAAACACATAAACATTGGTATAAGGAAGCAGTAAATATATATGCATCACATAAATCATTTAATTTGTGTGAGTACCGTGATAATGGCGCCCAAACCTAAGGATATGAATTTCTTAGTGATAAGTCTTGTTAATTTGAACGCTTTATTCGGTTCCCAAGCTATTTTGGTAACACGCAAGCTAGAAATGTAGGGCGACCTGAACACGAGAGAGAAGATGATAAGTATGCGAGAAGTGTTTTACTTCAAAGATTCATTTTTGTACAGAAAAACACGGGTCTTCATAGATTATTAGCATTTGTCAAATCAACATAATATTTTTGGCCAATCCGCTGAGAGACATATTATGCTACTGACCAATAGTAGCATACTACGCTAAATTCTAGAAAACTCCCTTATGCTCTGATTGGCTGGAAACTCTTCAACTCCTTTAGGGCCTCTGGAGGCTCGGTTGTAGTTCTCGGAAGTCTAATCCATAGGGCAGTGGAGCAACCTTAGAAAATGCAGTCCCATGGTAGCCAGTAACCAACAATAAGTTCATACACTATTTTTTCCCTCAGGATTATAAAGCTCATGTGGACCAATGGTTTGAAATCAAAGTTTCCCAACTCCCCTAGGTGGATTTTCTGAAACGTACCCATAAATAACTCAGTTTTCCTAGACACTTTATTAAATCAATAGTAATTACACTTAATGTGTGATTCAACATTGAATACATAAAACTATCTGTGCTTGAGTCTTAGCGAATATTTGTGTATAATCAGAATATATTACGTAAATATATTTTTGATAATCTTCATCTTTGCATTATATTATTACAATTTTTGTTTTAAAACACTAATTAATTAGTATCAGAAAAGGTTTTGTGGAGATTATAGCAATTTCAATAGTTGAAATCATGAGTCAATTGAAGCTAGACCAACACGGAAAATCTGGAAGCACTAGACGACCGTTTCCTCTTATTGTGTGACTCCTCGGCAGTGCGCATCCGCGACCCCGCCATCCAATGCTTCTAGGTTTTCCATGGTGGTCTAGCTTCAATTGGCTCATGATCTCAACTATTCAAATTAATTAATTAATTCAAGTAAAAACCAATGAAATATTAACAACACAAAAAACTCACTGTTTAATGTTACTATTAAAAATTTCATTTTGTTGATCTTTTGAAATTGAATTATGAACTTTCATAGATTGTGTGCTAATTTTATGTTTTAAATTAATTAGACAAGTTAAATCCATATCATCCAGGACTTCTTTCACTAATATATCTTTTTTATCAATATTATTACTACTATCATTAACATGATTATTATTATTATTGATAATATTATTGTTAAGGGTAATAGTATTATCCTCTTTGAATTGTTCATCATTGTTTGGTTTATCTATATGTTCAGTGAAACTATTACATTGAACTGTTGTCTCTGTTATGACGTCTTCTTCCTCTTCATTGATATTATCATCATTATTATAGTCTTCTTCGTTTTCTTCACCATCATGAATTAAGTGTACACCATTTATAAAACCTAATGTTTCAAATTTTATATTTTCATTAGAATTTATCCTGTGTAAAGAATTTCTCAATGAATGTGATGACTTTGGTGATTGAGGATACATTGATCTGAAGAAAAAAATGGAGAAAAATCTCGAACATGTAGTGAGAATCTAAAATGTAATTTACTTAGATATTGCTAAGTAATAATCTAGGATTAAAAACCTGAAGATTGGCAAGCATTCAATGGATATACTAATGGTCAAAGTTAGAATATTTTTGCTTTTCAATTAATTTTCATTCCAGCATCTGAGTAACATTACTAACGAGCACATCTATTCAGTGGTTTATTCACAATGATTTTTATAGCTAGTAAAAAGTGAATAATAATTAGAACTTGGTTGTTAAGTTAAAACAAATCTCATCAACCAAGCTATGGGACATTAGATATTCGGACGTAGTCAGTAAGGAACTTTAGACATGGGATTCATTCTAGTAGGACTCATCAGCAAGATTCGCCTATGGCCTTGGAACAAATAATGTTTTTGAACCCTATTCACTGAACTACATAGTTTGGGACGTTATCACTGAATTATTTGAGCTGTGAATGACCTGTGGGAGTTGCAGGCGATAGTGAGTCATTTAAACTAGTGGTCACATTGTAAATAGATAGATAGAATTCGACCAGCAACAACGAGCAAACAAACATGTCATTGGTCATCGTACAAGGACTGATCAATGTACACTAATCAAAAGATGAGGGAACAGAATACAACATGCAAAAAATAAATATTAAACTAATAACCGATGCTTGCAAGTTGATTCGATCAATGCAAATTATCTTAAATTTGACTTTTTTTAATAATTCAATCAAATCACTTTGTGACAGTACGCTGCAGAATATCAAGAGAAGTGACAAGGGTCAAGTTTTATGGAGAATGTCTCACGTCAGGCTATTTCCCACGGCAGTTTGTAAAATCTTTACGTTCATGTAAACTTCCACCATCGCTTAAAAACCTAAGACGCATTACCAAATCTCATATTGAATCGACAAAATTACTCATTACACAACTAAGGACTGAGGCCAGTGCTTTTGTTAGAGCCGTTAATGATTTAAACATCGTATGTCGAATAAAATTCATGAACTTCATTCGTGATCTTCAAATCAAGGTTTGCAAGGATTTCCATAAATCTCTATCGAAAACTCTGTTAAGAGAACAACTATGTTTAGGGTTTCCGGAAAACCCTTCGAAGTTTATCTATAACTTATCAAATACGAAGCTCAATAGTATAGAAACAGAAGCCTTATCACTTGGACTCAAATTTCATATACCAAAAACAAATACGGACAGGATTGATACAGAAGCTCAATTTGAAAATCTGTTTGACCAGTTAAAAGATTTGCAACCAATGAATGAGGAAAAGAAAGGATGGTTCAAATCAAAGTTAGTTGATATTGCCAACCAATACTTCGTGTCATCGACACCAAAGTCGAATGTTCTATCCAAAGAACATCTAACAGCCCTAAGAAACATCAAACAAAATAATGAGGTGATGATTCTACGACCGGATAAAGGTTCAGGTGTAGTCTTAATAGATACAGCTGATTATGTAACTAAGATGAAGTCAATCCTAGACGATCAACTTAGGTTCAAGGTAGATAAATCCAAAAAAGATTTGACTGATTCAACAGAAAAACGAATCACAGGAATGCTCAGAGAACTTCTAAAAAAGAAAATGATTGATAATTCTACGTACAACGATCTAAGACCACGTGGTTCACGTCTACCTCACATGTATGGTTTACCAAAAATTCACAAACATGACGTTCCCCTCAGACCTATCCTATCAATGATCAACTCACCGTATCATAAAGTTGCACGCTGGTTAGCAGTAAAACTAGAACCGGTTCGTCGGAGATTAGCAACATACACGTTAAGAGATTCATTCCAGTTTGCTGATAGATTAAATCATACGAATGTTACTGATAAGTTAATGGTCTCTTTTGATGTAACATCATTGTTCACCAATATACCACTTTTTGAAACTATTGATATAATTTGTCAGAATGATGATCTCCTACCTTTACCAGCTCCAGAACTCAAAAAACTACTACTAATGTGCACAACTGATGTTCAATTCCAATTTAATAACACCATATATCGCCAAATCGATGGCGTAGCAATGGGGAGTCCACTAGGTCCAATTCTGGCAGATATTTTTATGGGGTATCTTGAAAACACGGTACTTAAACAGGCGATCAGTGAAACGACGGAATACTACAGATATGTGGACGACACATTTATTGTCTGTAATAATAAACAGCATGCAACCCGCCTGCTAGAACTCTTCAATAACGCTCATCCTAACATTCACTTTACTATGGAGCACGAACAGAACGACATGTTTCACTTTCTTGATGTTGCCATAAGACGTAGGAAAGACGGGACAGTACAACGTTCAGTTTATAGAAAAAGCAATTGGAATGGCCTCTATCAGAATTTCAATAGTTTCTGTCCAATTAGTTACAAGAAGGCACTGGTTAAAACACTATTTGACAGGGTAGAAAAGATATGTACCACCGACAAACTTGAAGAAGAATTAATGAACCTAGAAGAATGTCTAAGAAACAACTTCTATCCACAAAAGTTTATTGACAAATATAAAAAGCCCAAAGAAAACAAGACGGAAATAACTACGGTCAATAAAAAGACAGTATCTATAAATCTTAACTTTAAAGGTGATAACGTCGCACAAATAATCAGTAGGAGACTGAATATTGCGCTTGCCAGAACTTATCCGGCTGCTAAACTTTTAATTTTCTATAAAACAACATGTTCAATAACTCAATCAAAGGTCGACAAGCAACCCTTTCATGTTACCGCCAACTGTATTTATAAATTTACGTGTACCTGCCAAAGCAGCTACATTGGCAGAACAGAAAGGAGAGCATACCTTAGATTTTTTGAACATGTTCCAAAAAGTCTTAGAACAAGGGAAAGAAGGACTCTGAATAGTGCAATCACCAAACATCTCCTTGATACAGGACATCAGGTAGATACCTTACAATCCTTCAAGGTGATTAGTAAGCAGCCAAACTCCAGTCTTCTGAAGTTTGCTGAAGCCGTTGCCATCAGGCGTCAAAAACCTGACCTATGTGTTCAAAAGGAGATGGTTGTTAATCTTTCTTTGCCTTGGTGACAAATATTCCTTCTCTGCACCATAAATTATTATTATTATTTTTGTACTTATTACATCATTGATTTTCATTATTTTATTTCTTCAACTACGTTTCAAATTAATAATCTTTTAACTGAACTCTACTCACTATATTCCTATCAAAATTTTTTTTTTTTTTTACTCATTATGTAATCAATTGTTTCTAACCCCCTTTTTGAACTGTCGTCACAATTAATGATGTAGAATATTCTTTCACATTAGGTATATATTTACAATATTCAGTATATTAATTTCATTTACACCCTTGCTACACTATACGAATATGTCTTCTATATAACTTCTAACAAAATCCTCTCATGTAAGTCATTTAAACTCATTGTCTTATTATGATTTATAAATATAACAGGTTGTAAGCAGCTGATGAGAACCTACGAAATAAAATGAATTCATGCTATTCTGCTAAAATCTTTGTTCTAGCTCTTTTCAAAATGATAAAGGGAACTATGTGTATGAAATCAATCCAATAAGCTTAACCATATTTTAGACACAAAATTATTGGTATCAGTTCCCGGATTAGATCTATGGGATAAATAAATCTTTAGTGATGATGTGATATGACATGTTGGTAGATTCAAACTACCTGGTTGGTGTCCCCATGATAACCATAATCAGCGGTTGGAGACTGGTGATATGTCTCAAAATCGATTCGCGATGACGTAGATACACTTACTCTTTACCTTCCTATCAGTCTTTAATTTTAGTATTTTCATATACATCCTTCCGCTCTATCTTCTCAAACCTTCTTAACAATCCCCGGCATGTTTTTTTCATTGTCATTGCTACTACATTATTCAGATCTTTTTGGCTATACATTGTCTTGATTTTGTCATACTAGTGTACCATGGCGACGGGCTAACAAATACCTATGTCCCAGAACCTACTTTAATGATAATTGTCTGATTGATTGAGCGATTTGACACAAATACATACACAAGTACACTCGATCCCTTCTTAAATATTGAACGAAAATTGAAATACTCACTGGTGTAAAGGAATGAAATTCCCAGAAGATAATAAGCTATCACTAGGTGATAATTTCAATGATTTCTTATCAATACTTTGCCAGTCTTTGACATCACTTTCCGTACGATGAACTGCATTTGAATGACTTTTCGCCTTATATCCTGTTTCGAATGTTTCTTCTATATTATTGGTGGTATTTGATACATTTAAAGGTAAATAAACTGAATCCGATGATAACAGATTATTAGATGACGTAATAAGTTGATCATTACAATATGAATTCATTCTACGTAGTTCATCAGTTAATTTCGTTTTAAATAATCCTTCCTTGATTTCAGGCAAAACTTGTCGAGGTGAATTAGTCGATATTTTTAATAATGGTTGAGGGTTAGTCATAGAATATGATGATGTTTCGTGTGTAATAAACAGACTTTTATTATCATTATTATTATTGATATTTAATTTTGGATTAGCAAGATTTGATGAGTAGGATAAACTAGATATATTGACACCTTCTGTACAGGTACTTTTATTATTGCATTTAACTTGATTTAACTGAATATTATCATTATTTAGAATAGATGAAATCATAGAATTATTATTGGGTAGATAATTGCTTGGAGTAGAATTAGTAGTGGTAATAACAGATGGTGAAAACGATTGAAACATATGACTACGATCTTCATTTGAACAAGACTAAAACAGAATAGTGAAATTTTAGTAAAGACAAACATAAGTAGATAAGGTAAAATAACTTATCTGAATTAGTTAAAAGTTTATATTCACTAGACATGATCTACGGTAATCTTTCCCATATAAGATGAATCTTTTAAAAGAACAGTAATTAGTATGAAGTGATTTATCTGGACAACAATATTTTCAGCTGTTACTCGATGATTATCGAATCAACGATAACAAAGGACACTGCTAAAATAAATCAACAAAATTAAAATCCCGTGATTTTTTAATGTAATTTCCATCTGTTTATCGAAATCTCGAATTATCTTATCCCACCGGCAATTTTTTTTCAAATTGTCCCCCACCCCCCGGAAAGATTTTTTTCCACCCCAAATTACAATATTTTTCATCCCCTGTTTCGTCCAATGAAATGGGTAGTTTTAAAACTTCGATGTAATTGGTTAGTTATGTCTTGAAAGTTGTTATAAATTATCAGTACTTGTAGACGATGTACATTTTAACCGTCATTATGGAGGACAGTAACGTTCCAAGTACAAGCGCTGTTGCTTCTCACGTAACGGAACTGGATGAAGTGTTTTTAACAACCTTGTTTCTGGTTGCGTTTCCATCGGTTGAAGCGTTGAAGACCGCTATCATCAATCATGAAAGATCGAGTTACAGTCATTATGTTGTGCGAGATTCGCATATTGGCCGAGATCAAAATTCTTATATAAAATTTGTGTGTTGGAGAAACGGGCGTATAAGATCTAGCGGTTCGTCACAGCGTATTAGACGGAGGAGGTAATTTGGTTAATGTTATTATAATTTGTCCACACTTATGTTCTCATTCACTACATACTTACATACTAATGAAAATCGACAACAAATACAAACTATAACTTACATTATTCATTGCGGACGTTAGTTCTCCAGAACAGGGTTTACTTGAAATACCTAAGAAACAAACGTTTTTTTCACTAAGAAGGTGAACATACAAAGTATGTGACAATATTATTAACCACAATGAAGGACGGATATAATAACACATTACTATAAAATTGTGATTTGAATTCTTATTACAAAGAAAACATGAGATGTATTTCGTTGATTATATTCTTGATGGACAAATAAAAATACATGATCACTAAGATTAGTTAGTAGAAGTCATAGATTGTGTTTAAATCCTGATCCCAATAAAGTACATATATATCAACGTTTGTTAAATATTCTAGGTTTTTTAATGCCTAGACTTGTGTTTAAACAGGTAGATTATTTATTCTAAGTTCATTTTCTACTGAAGTCAATAAATAAAAAATGGTTGCTTTGTTTCCATATTAACCTAAGGATTGCAATCATCCACGACCCCGCATACGGGAATCGAAACCAAGATATTCGATCTCGTGTGTCAACCGCTTAACCTCTAGACCACTGAGCTGGCATCTAACGGTGTTAATGTCCAACTTCAATCAATCGACATCTTTTTAAATTAATTTTGTATCACGATATCAATTTCTGATTGTTTATTTTTAGATAATTCATTTGATATGTTGTAAGTTGGCAATGGTTATTTGATAAAACAATTTAATCTTCTTATTGACTGGATGGGGAGTTTTTTTATCTACATGACATACGATGAACTCTTGGTTGGTTAGCTCTTAAACTTATCGACCATTCCTAAAATGAAAGCAGTTCTGTTAGGTGATTTATCTAAGATGATTGGCTCAATTCACAGATTATACTCATCAAAAATTAGTCATAGTTGGCGGATTATTGAAAACTAAAGAACACTGGACAGGTATTTAGTTCAAGTATGAAACTACACATAAATTCCTCTTCATGACCCTAGTAAGGATCAAACCCACAGCGAATGATCAACCATTAGAATCACTTGATTGGAATCCAGTGGTACAATTTTAACTTCGATCACTTTATGGTATAGTGCTACGATCATATAGTTCCATTGAGAATAACAGTGCTACCTTTGATGAACACAGCTCCATAAAACCTCTTCAACTAAACTATGACAGTATTTTCTTCGTTAGCATTGGTTGTGATTTGAAAGCAATTTTACTGATTTGGTGATCAGTTATGATAATATTTCACAATATAACATATGACTATCTACCGTTTATAATTATCAGTATTATCATTAGTACTTCATTGCAATCTTTTCAACTGCAAATCAATGATTGTTAGTTTATCTTTCATTACATAATAAAAAACATGTTTCACAAATGTACTTTGAATTTTACCATTTTTGTTGTTCTATCATGTAATAAGTTGAGATTAATAGGACGAACGGTGAATGAGCTTTTAGATTATTAAAATGAATAAATTAAGTGCTAATCGATAAATGAACAAAGTAATGATACGATCAGGTTGATTGATGTCTATTCAAGAGATCCAATTATTAATTGATATTGAAGACAAAATCACTAACCAGAAGAAGAGCTTGTTGTTGTTGATTATTTTACATCAAATAAAACAGTATGCATATTTATATACAAATTATTAACAGAAATAAATAAACAGGATTAGATTTCATAAGCGGTTGAATTAAATCAGATTCGTGTAGGTCATCATTCAATCACTATTCAACGAATTAAAACACGTAACTGTTAAGCCTAATTCTTATTCCCTATTAAGAATTTTATTAGAAAGTCTTTATGATTATTATTTTTTGACCATTTAACTCATCAACTATACAAATGATTATTGAAAATTTGTATACTAACAAATTGAACGATAAATCAAGAACAAATACCATTTATATTTACTTGGTGTGTTGTTTACTTGTATCTTTCGATTGTTATTTAGGATTGCGATTGATCAGTCTCTTGTGCAGACTGCCTCGATATTGCCTTAGGTTACAAGCTTTATAAGCAAAGATGGATAGGCGCTAGCAGTAGAATCCAAGATGTGCGTTTCGTCCCATTTGGGACTCGTCAGCTGAATGTATCTGAAACTCAAAGTTGATGTTCACTCTGGTACTCTAACTCAGTACCGTTCATTTCAAACGCCATAGAATTATCCACTCAGAGTGAACAGCTAAAAATTTGTTTTACACAACTATATTGGAAGTTCAAAGCTGTAGATAATTGCTTTGTTTCATTTTTCAAAAGAAATAATATTTATCATGAACTAATATCAGATAGAAAATTATTAGAAAATGGTCGTGTTCTATTGAAAATCATACTCAAATTGAAAATTAAAGTATGTGGATCACTGCACAGTAAAATGAACTACATCGTGGTCAATTTGATACTCCCAAGTCATAAGAATCTTTAAAATTTAAGACAATTAGTTGTAGAATTTAACTAATATCACTTTGTGATGTGAACTATTTTCCAATTTAATAAATCTTAATAATATACTTGATTTTTTTGTAAGCAATGATGGATAGTGCCTAGCAGTGGAATCCAGGACGCGCATTTCGTCCTATTTTGGACTCGTCAGCTGGATGTACCAGAGTGAACATAAACTCTGAGATGCAGGTACATCCAGCTGACGAGTCCCGAATAGGACGAAATGTGCATCCTGGATTCCACTGCTAGTCACTATCCATCACTGCTTACAAAAAGCTTGTGAATTAAGGCAATATCGAGGCATACACACAGTATGCACATATGCCAATAACAGACTGATCAATTGCAGTCTTAAACCTCAATGAGGAAGATACAAGCCAAACAATATAAGTAAACTTAAATTCACCCAATCGCACAAGCGAGTGGCTATCAGGACTCAGTAGCTGAGTGGATAATGCCATGGCGTTTGAAGCGAATGGTACTGGGTTCGAGTCCCAGAGTGAACATCAATTCTGAGATGCAGGTACATCCAGCTGACGAGTCCCAAATAGGACGAAACGCGCTTCCTGGTTTCCACTGCTAGCCACTATCCATCTTTGCTTATAATGCTTGTAAATTAAGGAAATATCGAGGCATACGCACAGTATGCACATATACCAATAACAGACTGATCAATTGCAGTCTTAAACCTCAATGGGAAGATACAAGCCAAACAATACCAAGTGAATATACTTGATCTTTAAAATTTACATAATTCACACTAAACATCTGAACAAGACATTGTACTTTTAGGTTGAAAATATATTAACAGTGTAGCTTCTTCATACTTTATTAACCGTGTGTAGTTTAACTTTCTTGAAACTCCTAGTTACCAAATCAACTATTATCGTTCAACCTGGCGAAACTGTAATTTATGGACGAACCAATCAGATTTAAGATATCAGGTATTGGATTTTAGAGCGAAATTCGTTCATCCATTTAGCTAAATGACGTTTTGGCATTTTAACTGATGTCAGTTCGTAATGAAAACCCTAAATCTACTTGCTAACCCTTACCATCAACTGTAAATCAAAATCTTTATTCTTCCTACAGGTCAATAACCCTCATTTAGCTCCGGTAAATAAGTGGACATTCTCATGGTCACTTTAGTGTTGCTCATAGGTCGTCCATAAAGTACACTCTTACCTTAAACTTTAGTAAAAGTGAAATATTTATGAGCTATTTTTGATCAGTTTGGTGTATATTTGAGATTATTGTTTCAACTATCCTCATACCCAAGAGATCATGTAGTATAACCAAATATGTTTAAATTTGTAGTTGAAACTTAATTAAATGAAACTAAATCTATAAATATCTCAATCAAATTCTTTATAACATTTAATTTATGGTAAACAAAAACATTACAATTCGTAATATTTATATCAAACATATAACTTATTATTACAATGGTAACATTTCATAATTAACATTCATTACAACAACTTACTACTAACAGAATTAGAAGAAACGTCTTCACAGGAGAAATTCTGATTTAGCTCAGTTGAGAATCTGGTACATGTTGAAATTGATTTACTATGATGATTCCTTGGAAGATTATGATTGACAGCTTCGTGAGTTATTAACTCTGTCTGAATTGGATGAACGTACTATGTAAATTATATATTAACGGTAAGAAAACTATCACCAGTGACTGACCAAAATAGTCTATTAATAATTCACAGTATTTAACGAACAAAATACAAAGAATTAATTATCATATAAAAACGGATTAAATGAAAGTTTCTATAAGACTGATAACTTCTTCTTTTTGACAATTATTTCATCTTCTCTATGAAACAAAGTAGGATATTTCTGAAGTGAGGTTTGTAAGTGTTTAACAGTTTTTGACATAATTGTACAATGGCTTGAAGGAAAATGAAAAGAATACATGTTAAACTCAATTTTAGACTCGTCAGCCGGATAGATCTGCATTCCAGTGTTGACGCAATACATTGAAACTCGAACGCGGCATATATATTTATCAACATCAACGCGTTTTCCACTAAGGTTCAGATAGCCATTGACTTTTGCAACAGAAAATACGTTTAATTAAATTGCTTTATGCAACACCGTTGTGGACTTCCAAGCAATATTGAGACATTACTTCAGAATTTACATAAGGTAACAAAGTTGATCGTTTTTCAGTCTTAAATATCAACAAATGAACACAGCTTATAAGACTTAAGGCTTTCAACAATATGCTGCCTTATCAGAGCACCAACTATGCTTTTGAGGGGACTCTATGGATATAGACTTAGTTTGTCAATAGTGTTCGTCACGGAGTGATCTGATTTAGAGTGAAATTGAAGACTGAGAAGGATTAGAAAACTGACTCGTCCTTGAGTGGGACTCAGTAATGTACACCTACTACATCATCATGAACCAAACACAAGGTCTTCAGGAGCCCCATGATAGGGTGAGAAATTAGCCTAAGACGAATGCCTACATATGTCAATAATGTATTATTCATTGAATTCAGCTTTGACATATTAACCTGACTATACACTAAGTTAATAATATGTGAATAAAGCACTGTTATCTATTGAGATACCAAATATTCCTTACGCTTGCTACTGAATTGTGTCTGAGAACCAATAAAATAATAGTGTACTGAGTATATGAGCAATGTTTAACTCGTCGAAAGACAGCCGTATTGCAATTAAACTACTGAACCTGCTTTAGCTCTGTGATAACTGTCACTTTGTAGCATATCATGAACTGTATACCCATATAGATTATACCCATCTCTTGTGTTATGACAAGAAAACTAACTCATAAAATAGTGAGATATAGCTTTGCAATGAAGTAATCAACTTTATAGAAACAGAATCTTACTTCCTGAATCAGTTTGTTAGTTTAAAATACCTAAGTGCTTAGTTATGGGAAGATCTAAAAAGCATGAGAGGTTTCACAAGCAAGACTATCAATACCTGGTATTTATAGTTGTTTATAATAATCGCACAAACTATGAAGAAATCCACTACCTTTTGATACCCTCAGCCGTTATTAAACAACTGCCACTGCACCGAAAACAAATTAGATAGTAAATAAAAATCAGTGAAGTTCGTATTTCTGCTTTACCAGTTTTGTGGATACTTAACTTATTCCAACAGAAACAAGGGTTTAAATTATTCGATTACGTTATGTAATCAGTGACTTTATGTACAAAATGATGCTAACTCCTCTGCGAATCTGGTGTATGAATTCTCTTACACCCATTTGAAATGCTTTTGCTCCCAGTGTTCTAACATTCGCACATTTATTCATTCTCTACTATCAGCATTGTTCATTCTTGAACTGTTTTACTGAAACTACAAGATAAAATCATTTAAAGTAATACACGATCTATTAACAAATGAATTAATATGGTTCAGTTGACAACAAACACAGTATTATATTCTCGGTGAGACTACAATTTATGGACGACCTATGAGCAACACTAAAGTGACCATGAGAATGTCCACTTATTTACCGGAGCTAAATGAGGGTTATTGACCTGTAGGAAGAATAAAGATTTTGATTTACAGTTGATGGTAAGGGTTAGCAAGTAGATTTGGGGTTTTCATTACGAACTGACATCAGTTAAAATGCCAAAACGTCATTTAGCTAAATGGATGAATGAATTTCGCTCTAAAATCCAATACCTGATATCTTAAATCTGATTGGTTCGTCCATAAATTATAGTCTAGTGTCTTTTATTGCTTTAATACCTATAAATTATCTATTTATTACACGTTAATAGTTGGAAATCGAATTTGATTGTATTTAAAGCACATCGAAATATAAAATATTTATATGCCTAACAAATTTCAATAACCATGCACAGTGTTTTGTAAGCTAGAAGACCATGCAGTCGCGTAATTTCTGTGATAGGCATTTTATCAGTTAAATGGACCAAATCTAACCCTGCTAAGTGATTTGTGACAACATGATCAGAGAAAGAGTTATGTGTAGCTTAACACTCATGCTATCCAGTAAAGAATAATGTGTACATTATAATACTTTGAATACGCATCATTAGATTATAGGTCTATAAAGTGTTAGATATGGTAGTATAGACAAATATTGTACATAGTAAACTCATTTATCCATGCATAAATGCATTTACACTAACATTTCTGTTAGCAATACCATTATCAATATCTTGATTGGATTTCCCGGGTTCATTTTGAGACGACGATTGTATAAACAAAGGAGACTTTATTTCGGATATGAAGGAACTAGCTTTCTCACTAAAAAAGAAGAAAAGTAAGCACCAAGATACATAAACTATTCTGATAAATGTTTTTGAAAAAGCTGCTATCAAAAGAATTATAGGATTAATTAAAATGAAATGTAACCGAAATATAAAATTTGCACTGTAGAAAAGTCTGATTAGCTGCAATGGATTTTAGAATTAATTACTTTCCCTGAGGCACAGTAGAAGACCCAAAAACATTTTTTATTATAAGCAGGCATTGACTGAAGAACCACTAGAAACTAGTCACAAGCGATGTAAGACCTAGTGTAAATATAAATTGACCCAGCTTCTCACACCATGTCAGTGTGGCAAGAGAAAATTAGTAGGATAATAACCAAAATAGAAGAATTAGTAATGTCAGAGATCGTAAGAAATGATTAAGAACACAGAATATAGTTTAAGATGAAGGAATGAATTCATAGAGTAAAAATTGTGGACCAATAATGAAATTCGAAATCTATAAGTAGACAAAGAACAGATGTATCTGGCCCTCAAGACAGAGTTTGAGCCGTGTTATCTGAAGTCTCCAACAGTTAATAACGAATATCGCCCAGATCTCAAACAAGTAGAAGTATGTACCTACCAACACAGCATAGAAAAGCAGTAGAACCATTGAAAACAAAGTGGAAGAGCTAAGATGCTGATAAACATCGTCATATTTTCGTATTAAGCAGTGGGAAAGAGCCATCGATCATTTCACGACTTTTATCTCGATTCTTGACTAATTAATTCGCATAGAGAGTAACTCTGTTCCATTAATGACAGCCAGTTCAATTTGAGTTTGCAAATCCATCAGATAAAAAAAATATCGTTTAATTCACTTAAGTCGCTGTAATATTTACCGATAGATTACACCATGAGTTCATGGTTAGCTATATAATGTCAACTAAGTTAGCAAACAGATTGAAGAAAAATTTAGATAATAAAGCATGTTTTTGTGATCTATTTATGACTCCAAATTTAACCCCTCTAGGGTTACTGACGGTCCCATTTCCAGGTAAATGAAGAGGGTTGAGCATGAGGTCAGTAACCTCATCCAGTAGAAAACAATTTTGCTAAGGAAAGCTAACTAGAAAAAAAACAGTTTGAACCATTTAAACACTGTCCTGGGAGTTGAAGGATCTTCATATAGAAGAACTATGTTGCCTCATGGTGAAGGACGCGATTCTTCGGAAGTCACAAGACCGATACCCCTTATAACAAGCAGAGCAACAATTAATTTATGTACATAGAATTTTCATTGAAAATTGGAGGCAGAAATCAAAAGAATGAGTAGCAATTCAAAACAACTGGAAAGGAGATCCCAGGACGCAGTTAATTGGAGATTCCTAATCGGTGACCTATGCTTCCACGAGGTGTAATACTCGTACTTAGGTAAGTTTATGATAAGATGAAGAGCAAGTGCAAGCTGCTGTTATGTATGTATTAGTATTACTTTATTTTAATGTACATATACACTCATTCGTTTAGTAGCTTTTTTCCTTCGTAGTTTTAGTGTTAATCACTAGTTTTAAATTTTAAACAATCTAATTAACTCATGGATCAAAGCATTTTCTACGTATTTTGTCTACACATGAGCAACCACGTGAAACTATAATAACTAGGTGATTGTCCGTTTCAACTAAATAAATCAAATTTCAATTACATATCGAAATCAATAAAACTATTGCAGTCGAATAGCCCAACTCGTTAAACAAATAGGAAGATGATGGTCACAGTCTAGATTCCATAGTCACTTTCATTAATATGACTTGATCAATGACCAGCATACAATTTTAAGAACCTGAAGCTATAGAAAAAATATGGAAAACAATGTTTCAAGAAATAATCACGCGAACCTTCAGCAAGATGTTACTTTACCACATAGTAAATGATACTAAATCCGACGCTCTCACTTTGGTTATCTGACGACCTAACCAGTGAAATCATACGATACAAAAATATTAGTAACAAAACATTTAACTGTGGCGATACCATAGCGTTTAACCTGCGTATAACAATCAACCAAAATAATCAGTGAGAAATGAATAGTTGTGGAAACAAGTGAGCCTAAAGCATTTAAGTCAGTAATTTCGAAAAATAAATATTTTATAATATCCTTACAATCCTAATGGGCTTAAGTCACTTTCATGAACAAAAACTAACTAGGGAAATTCTGAAAATTCGAACTGTTTGTATTTAAGACAAAAATCAGACTATACAAGAAAACCAACATACAGGTCTTCTTTTGTTATCCGAGTCCCATCGAGAATACGTAAATTTGGCAGCCAACCCAAGACAAATAGTTTATAGTCGTTTGCACTAAAAAATCAACGTTAAGGTAAAACTGTCAAACAAGTTAAAGTAAATCTCAGTAAATAAAATAAAAAGGATACAATGATTCGATGCACGGATTATTTCCTAAAGAAAACTGAGAAAGCGTGGACAAGCACGACAACTCTTGAACCTCCAAAGCTGTGGTTAAAATATAGTCTTACTTCCAAAATATTGGAAACCATATTACTGGCTAAAGACAGTATCTCAAGTGATTTCGGTAAATTTTTGGATCCATCACGTAGAGTGCTTATGTGGTTGCAATGTAAAAGGAGAGTCTAGTAATGTTATATATTGTACAGATATATACCTTCAATTTCGTCAAATGAGATAAGTTTCGAAGTTCGTAAATATAGTTGTCAGATAAATCCAAATGTTTTAAGTTTAAATTAGTGTCTAGCTGTTCAATAACCTAAAATAGTATTAACTATCATATATTGAAACTACCTTAAGTTTGTTTCCTGATAGATTAAGCCACCGCAAGTTAGTGAGCTTAGCTAAACCTTAAGATAATCAAAATCCACAATGACAAAAATTGTTGAAATACCATCCATTGTAACGATACCGTTATTAGGTAAATTTAAGATTGTTAAGTTTATTAGCCCCGCTACCCCATGCATTTGAAGTAATTTGTTGTCTGCCACTGAGAGCTAAAACATACCAAACCTAATATAACTCATACTTGTTGCAAATCACACAAAGTTGATAAGTTCTCCAAGCGACGGATATAGTTATGATCCAGGATTAAAACATTGATATTAACTGGTAATGTGTCAATGTTTTCTATACCAGATCTAGCGATATTTAGTGTTATTTCACCATTTGGTCCTATAAATGTTGGGAGATCTTGGAATCCCCGCCCGAGCAACCTGTGCATCTGTTGACAGATTTCGAAAAATCCACAGCTTCAAGGACAAACAAGCTAAAGCTGAAAATGGCTCATACAATTAACGACTATCAATATACAATATTTTTGTGTAAACATGCATAAAACGATTAATTTAGTTGCGTTTTCTTATTTATTGGTGGTTTTGAATATTTTGTAATCTGAGTGAGTGAGTTCGACTCCAGTCAGTGGCGATTATGGAGATTAGCAGCTATCACTTCACCAGGTAAAAGGTCGATCGGTTTCAATGAAGAAAATAATTAGGAAAACATTCGGGTGGATGTTTCAGGAAACAAACAAGAAAATAACTTAGTTACTTGGTACTGAATACAAGATGATAAGATCGAAGTGCGAGAATGGAAAGTGATCCTAAATGTTGGCGAAAGTAAGGACACAAAGACTGGTATAAGTGAAGATTTATTAGCTCCAAAACACTATGACGATGACGATGATGATAATAGTGGTGATAATCTAGTAGAAAGTACACTCATTTATGTATTGATTGTATACTCATTTTGATTAAAATTAGGATGAAATCACATATATAAAAAATACTCAAAGTTATAACAATCACATAATGAGCATAGTTCAGATCAATGGAATAGAAGAATATCGTATATTATACAAAATATCATACGACACAATAAAACAAATACTATGTAGCGGCAAATAAATAGCTCTGTAAGTTTTCGACATTGGATGCTGACCATAATAGTTTTATTGGACTCATCTAGCTGAAGGCGCTCGGTCATCCATCCGCACCAGATCACGTGTGTGAACGCCGTGCTCAACATCTACTGTAATCGCTAGCCAGATCAGTTCAGACGATCCTCGATATATTGATAGCCTATCAAATATATCTTCGAACCTACTTGCTTCTGTCTTTTGACTTCACTTGGCGGATACGCTTTATTTTAGAAGGTGTTACTGGTTAAAGCGTCGTTAAACTCCCAATACGTGTGACATCTTTAACTACATTGAGTAATCATTACATTAAATCAAAACGGATGTAACGATGAATAAAACTCACATTGAGTAAATCAGTCGAGAATTGACTTCTCGTCTTATCATATCAAAAGTTTTGGAATCAACTCTGTGCTGATTGTATCAAGATTTCTAGGCATAAAATGGAAAGTCTCGTGACCTCGAAAGACTAGTCACACATCTTTTTAACTGTCTTCATGTTCACAAACCTGACCTTTGCATTCAAAAGAAATTTGTTTATCCACTTTCGCTGCCTTGGCCATCGGTATAACATTCCCTTCAACAGAACTATTTTCCATACTTCTCACATTTGAATTTTTTAATTTTGTTTTTTTTAAACTTCGTAATTTCTGAACATTCATCTCTTGATTCTTAGGTAACTACTATTTTATTGGCCATCCATTACAAATTTTGTTCCTTCGCTTTTTATATATTATGCAACATAGCAACTTTTTCATTTAATAATTACTATGGATATTAATAATCATCTTTCTTCCAAACTACTCGATGTTAATTTGAATGTCATTATTACTTAACGTATCCACTAAATGAGTAATATTACAAACCATATATATATTAGTGTACAGCCATGATGAAAAACTAATTGAAAAGAAATTTCTTCGCTCAATTCGTTCCTTTTGTAACTATCTTACTTTCTTGTTTGTTTCCTGAAACATCCACCCGAATGTTTTCCTAATTATTTTCTTCATTGAAACCGATCGACCTATTACCTGGTAAAGTGATAGCTGCTAATCTCCATAATCGCTACTGACTGGAGTCGAACTCACTCTCTCAGACTATTAGATATACAAGCCTATAACTAATTAAAGTTCTGACTAGAAACAATACTGTGGAGTGGCTGGATCACTACATATTGTAATTGTTGGAAACTTCTCATAGAGTAACAACAAGTAACAAATACAATCGAACCGACTGTCTCATATGAACGCATCTGTAAGATAGCTAGTACTGATGTGTATATGGTTTTCTGTATTTAACTGCTGTCTTGGTAGAATAGCTCAGTTCATTCTTCTGTTCTAACTGTTCCTCAACGTCAAAAAATAGGGCGTTCAAGAACTAATTCTCGTTAGTGAAACCCAACTCTTCACATATTTCAACAAGAATGGGTTTCTCCTAGCTACACACACTGCTTCCTAACAAGCGAAATGTGGATCACTCGAGCAAAAATGTTACATCTGCTTCCATGTTATATTTTGAGTACACACTTAGGTAAGATTCAGTAGAAAGGGCTTCATCAGAGAGCATATGTAAGACAATTATTTGAATATCATCTACTGTAGTCCTTCTTTTTTCCACAATGAGAATGTAAATCTCACTTTCGTGACCTGCTAGATGACTATAAAGTTATTAAAATAGGTCTTCCCCTTTCTAAGCATCATAGGATTACATGAGTAAATACCTTTCATATAGTTGTAATAACTCATAATAAGGCTATCAGGCTGATTATTACTAAATTTTCAAGTCTAGCTTCATAATCATGAATAACCATGCCACCCCTTTCTTTTTAGGGTATTTCGACCTTTCTAGATACATATTATACTAGTAGTTTGAGAATTACATCAACTAACGAATTTATGGTAGTGATGAAATGGATTTCATCTTGACTTGTAAAGTTAAAGATGTTGGAGTAGTTGAAAACTTTTTTATAGTAAACGCTAGACCTGTCAGCAGTTGCCCTTCCTTAGAACTGACAGCTAGTCCCACTATTCAGCATTCGGAAACAGTAGGTGTCCGTTGCAACGGACTTATTCCCGTCAATATCATCTGCTGCTCGGATAAGGGAGGCCCAACTTCTTTTGCTTCGTGATCTACTAGTCCATTGGGTCGAGCTTTGCGTAGAGGTGCGACCAACTAAAACAGAAGCTTTACACCTCTCAAACTTAAGCAGACCCGTGTAGCTCCTCAAACAAGATACTTCCTTTCTCCTTTTTTGCTTTTGTACAGCCATTCGGAATATTACCTCATTATAAATTTTAATACTTTGCTCTAGTGGTCATAGATGTACAAAATGCCCCGAGTTTCGCTTAGAGCAGCGAGTCGATGTTTCCTGGTAAAACATTTAGCTGTGATAGATTCGAGGCAATTGATCTGCGGTATAATAAAATAGTCAAACCACCTCGCACGGATATATTATTGGTTTATTTAAATCCATTGCAAATAATGGGACCCCGAACTAGGTCCGACAGTTTCATATCTGAATACCTGCTCGCAGCTAGATTTATTAGCCTGACACTTCGACCAACGCCGTTTCATCTGGAAGCCGACCAAAGCAGTCTCGCCGACTAACTGTAAGAGCGACCGCAATTGTCATGATAATAATTCCGGACCACATGACCTACCTTAACACATACGTCACTTTATCTAACGGTCTATTGGAAGGCCAGGTCGAGTACCATTGTGATGACAGTGCGGTGTATGTTACTTATGTCGAAGGCAATAAGTAGTACGTAATAACAACGGGAAGTCGAATGCCTACCAAAAGAAAGGTTGGGGAGATTGCACTGAAAAAAAACAGGACATTGTGAATCGAGTGAATCATAACGTAAGGGATAGTTGGTGATAGACCTGCAAACGAAGTATTTTATGTAATCTCCACAAAGCCCATTCTGATATTAATCAACATATGCTCACTAGTGACTGGCTTCAAAAGGTATATCCTGAATTTCTAGTGAGAAGCAGTGACCAGTGGAATCCAACCGGGTCAGTTGTGACATATGAACTCACTGACAACAAAGGTGGATGTGTCGCTCAATTTCATGGGTCAGCTTGTGTTAGACATTAACGCCGTCGGATGCTATCTCAGTGGTCTAGTGGTTAAGCGCCCGTGCGCGAGACTGATAGGTCTTGGGTTCTAATCTCGCGAGGCGGGGTCGTGGATGCGCAATACTGAGGAGTCCCACAGTAGGAGGAAACAGTCATCTAGTTCTTCTAGGTTTTCCATGGTGGTCTAGCTTCAGTTGACTCATGGTCGCAACCATTTTAAAAAAATGATAACCGAAAAATTGCATAGCGAAAGCATATATTACAAATATCTTGTAATACAGTATTGTATGATACACAGCATGTTTTACTAAGAACTTGGAAACGCACAAACGTGTAATAATGAAATATTAAAAATACTTTGAATTTCTGTACACAATCTCGAGCCTCGCATAAAAGAGAGAAATACAAATAACAGAAATATAATCGCTCGTTTTTAACAGCATGAGAACAGCAATAATCATGCCTCAACGCCACACATAACTTGTTCTCTATGCGATCGATAGGTTGATAGAAGTTCAGGCAATGGTGCATTACAATCGAATACCTGTTAAAATACAGAAATTTTATTTTATCGTGGCGATCATATACTTAAAAAAGACAGTGAGAATAAAGTAATCAAAATGGAACAATCGAATGACATATGAAGCATGTTTGTGAGCATTACTTCTGAAATTATAATGAAGTAACAGGTATTCAGTCTAAAGAGTTCTCAAGATATTGCTTGAAATATTTTTTAGGTTATGCGAAAGTAATACAGTGTAAAACATAAATCAACTGAATACAAAAGACCAAATATCAAATGAGTTGCTTGGTCACCAACCACAAAATATCACAAGTCATATAGTTTAATAATCAGTTAATTCAAAATGTGATTTATGAGAAGAAAGATTGAAGGAATGTTAACTCCAAGATCTAATTTAGGGATTATTAATATTATAAATATTCTTACTGTATAATTACATAGTAGATTGATTACTATGTATATACATTCATTTATCACAGGCCTTCGGTTAAAATATTAACTATTTTTACACGACTTAGTATACCTGATTTGTCGGTCTATCTAATTATATTTAGCCCCATTCGCAGCCACTATTAGATCGTTTATGTAAAATTTTTATGTTCCATTTCATTGGTATGATGCGGTCCAGTATATTTTCACATAAACCCATGTATGTTTGAAAGATAATAGTAGTTAGAGTTGGATGCTGACGTCTTAGACTCAAGGTATGGTATAGAGAGAAGCTAG